ACATAAGCAAAAAGAAGCCAGAAGTGGCGCTGTGGCTCAGGTGGTAGAGCGCTAGCTTTGAGCTGAAGAGCTGAGGGACAGTCCCCTGGCCCAGAGTTCATGCCCCATGACCGGACCCCCCCCCCAAAAAAAAGAATTTGAACAACAATAAATGCTGGTAGGAATGTGGGGGGAAAAAGGAAACCCTACTGCACTATTGGCAGGAATGTAAACTAGTAAAACCATTCTGGAAAAAAATTTGGAGGTTCCTCAAAAACTTAACAGAGCTTCCCTATGACCTAGCCATATCACTCTTGGGCATCTACCTAGATCATCAACAGCCAGGATATGGTAAAGACATTTGTGCATCCATGTTCACTGCTACCTTTCCATGAACATGAGGATCTTTCCATTTCTGGATGTCATCTTCAATTCTTTTCTGCAGATTTTTATAGTTTTCACTATTAGAGGTCTTTTGCTTCATTGGTTAGGTTTATTCCTAAATATTTTTTTTAGGCTATAGCAAATGAAATTGTCTTCCTGCTTTCCCTCTCTGTTTATATGTTGTTGGTATACAGAAAGGCTTCTGATTTTTGTTGGTTGATTTTTGTATCCTGCTATTTTGTCAGTTATTGATCAGCCCTCAGAGCTTGGTGATAAGAGTCTCTCAAGTCCTTTAGATATAGATCATGTCGGCTGCAAGTAGGAATATTTTGACTTCTTTCCCTATGTGAATCTTTTTTGTCTTTATCTTGCCTTATTACTCTGTCTAGGAGTTCCAGAATTATGTGAAAAGGAATGGAAAAAGTGGACATCCTTGCCTTATTCCTGATTTTAGAGGAAATGGTTTTAGTTTTGTAGAATTTAGATATGAATCTATCCGGACCTGGACTTCTCCTTGCTGGAAGACTCTATGTTAACTTCTCAATTTCATTGCTTAGTATGGGATGGTTTAAGTGCTTTATACCTTCTTGGTTCAGCTAAGCTTGTATGTCCCTAGGAATTTATCATTTCCATTAGATTTTCCACCTTATTTGAGTATAGGTTTTGAAAGTATTCCCTCATAATATTTTGGATTTCTTAGATGTTTGCTGTGATGTTACCTTTGGCATCTCTAATTTTGTTGACTTGAATCTCTTCTTTTTTTCATCAGCTTAGCTAGGGGTCTGTCAATTTTATTAATTTTTTGAAAGAACCAATTTTTTTGTTTCATTTCTATGTATAGTTTTTTTTGTCTCTAATTCATAGATTTCTGTTTTAACTTTTACTAGCTCCATCTAGTACTTTTAGATTTTGTTCTTATAGATTTCTGTTTTAACTTTTACTAGCTCCATCTAGTACTTTTAGATTTTGTTCTTGTTTTGCTAGAAGCTTTAGCTGCATCATGAACCTTTTGAGTTATTTATGTCAATTTTTTTTCTGTAAACAGTTTAAGTAAATTGAACCATTCTCACTAGTTAGAGAATATGCTCACAAACCTGAAATTCAAGTTCCTAACATTAGTAAAAGGCTATTTGTGTAAAGATAGAAAGTTAAGCCTATGACATCAATTCTTTTCTGCATTGTATGTGTATATAACATTTAGTACTCTCTCACTAAATGTTAGCTTTTTTTTTTGTCAGTCGTGGGGCTTGAACTCTGGGCCTGGGCGCTGTCCCTCAGCTCGTCAGCTCAAGCGAGCGCGCTACCACTTAAGCCACAGCTCCACTCCCATTATTTTTATTTGTTGTAAGAATTCTTTAAATTACAACCACTACTACTACTACTTTAATTGTGGTCTGCTTTCCTACGAGGTGGATTTGTCAGTATTTTAACTGTGTGTGTGTATGTGTGTGTGTGTGGATTTGTCAGTATTTTAACTGTGTGTGTGTGTGTGTGTGTGTGTGTGTGTGTGTGTGTGTGTGTGTGTGTGTGTGTGTGTGTGTGTGTGTGTGTGTGTGTGTGTGTGTGTGTGTGTGTGTGTGTGTGCCGTACTTGGGCTTGGGCCACAATCTGCCTATTTTACATCTACTTTTGTAACTGGGATGACAGGCATGCCACAATGCCTGGTTTTGTATGTTGAGACAGAGTCTTGTGGGCTTTTCTGTCTGGGCTGGCTGAGAAACATAATCTACCCATTCTCAGCCTCCCAAGTATCTAGGATTATAGAAGTGATCCTAATACACAGCTAGTAGTATAAACTCTTAAAACAAAAGTATCATTAATCCTAACCCAGGATTAAGAGGATTTATATAGACACTAAATTGGTATCTTACCCCTGTTCCTGCCCATTGGTTTTTTTGTTTTGTTTTATGCCCATACTGGGGCTTGAACTCAAATCCTGGGTGTTATCCCTTAGCTTTGCCACTCAAAGCTAACACTGTATTACTTAAGCCACAGGACTTTACTTCTGGACAGTTGGATGTTAAGTGGTTAATTGGAAGTAAACATCTCAGGGACTTTCCTGCCTAGGCTTGGCTTTCAACTGCTATCCTTAGATATCAGCCTCCTGAATAGCTAGGATTACAGAAGTAAGCCATCGGCCCTACCTCTATTGTTTTATTTTTTGACTCAGGGTCTTACTATGTAGCTGAAGCTAGCCTAGAACTTGCTAGCCTTCTGTCTCATTTAGACGAGTACTGGAATTATACATATGTGCCATTGTGCCTTATTATTGCCTATTACCTCTTTTTTTGTGGCAGTTCTGGGGCTTGAACTCTACCTGGGTGCTGTACCACTTGAGTTGCAGCTCCACTTCCAGCTTTTTAGGTTTTTAATTGGAGATAAGAATCTCATGGCTTCAGTGCCTGGGCTGGATTAAAATCACAATCCTCAGATCTCAGCCTCCTGAGTAGTTAGGATTACAAACATGAGCCACCAGTGCCTGCCTACTTATTGCCTTAAAAGTTTTTCTTTTGGTTCCAGGTTTGAACTCAGGCTGCACAGGTACTTGGCTGGCTGCTTAGTTGATATTCTACCACTTGTGCCATACGTCCAGTCTATTCCTGTATCTTTTCATCTCAATCAGAAGTATAGGCAAATTTCAGTCAATATCCTATATTTCTACTTATTAAGGCATTACAAAAACTTTAGGACTTTTAAATAAATATTCCAAAAGGAATTTATATTTTCATGTAATGTACATATCAAGGTAGTGGGGTCATTGTCTTTGTTTCATATAAATTATGCTTGCAAATCTGATTATAATTTAAAGAATATAATCACTGTAGATTATATTATACTGGAGATAATTTTATACCTGATGAAGTGTCTTGCACACTTACTAACCAAAATAGTTTATAAAATATTTTCACTCATTATACTTATTTGATCCTTGTAATAGCTTGCCATGATTTAATTGTTATTAACTTGAAATATATTCAGTAATAGTCTGATTTTAGAGGAGAAGTAGTTGAAACTAACTTACTGAGGTTCTGAAACTTGCATGTAGGAAATAAATTCTTTTTCTGTAATTTACAAGATGAAGATGTTAAGCTCTTGAGACATTTATGAATTTTTTATTAACATATTAATTGTACAAAATAATGGTTTTCATTGAAGAGACATTTTGTACTAAATGTCAGCAAGAACTATTTTAGAAAAAAATTTTAACAGTTAAAATAATCATTTCTACAAGGCAATCACTAAAAGTATTTTTGGTTTCTTGTGTTGGAGAGTAGACTTATTTATGTCTGAATAAGATTATACTCCTTATGTTCTTCCCAAATAGAAATAAAGATTTAGAATTTTTAAAAGTAGATCTGAGAAGAATTTTGTACCAGAAAAAAATTATTATAGAATTGATTATATCTTGCTCTGAACATCTTTCAAAATATACAAAACCCAGAAGCCATAAAAGAAAAGTAACATAGCTATACAAAAATAACTACTATAAGCAAAAGTCAACACAAATATAAACTGGGGAAATACTTTTCATGAGATGTAGGGCTACTTTTCTTTGTATAGTGACATCTCCCTCCTTCTTCCTTCCTTCCTTCCTTTCTTCTTTCCCTTCACACTGGTTGTGCACATGCATGGTTGATATTCTATCACTTGATCCATGCCTATGTCCCTCATTTTGCCAGTTATTTTAGGGATAGAATCTTATTTTCTGTTAAGGCCTGACATGGAATCATGACCCTCTGGATCTTAGCTTCCTGAGTAGTTAGGATTTTAGGTGTTGAATTATAGGATGTCAGCTATAGGAATATAGGTGTCACTGGTACCTAGTATAGGGATAGCTTTTAACAACTCAAGAAGAAAAAGAAATAATGTGCACCCACATCTCATACTAAAAGAAATACAAATTGCTCTTAGTTTTGTAAAAAGAACTCAACCTCACTCATTAAGTATATAAGGAATAACATCACCTTTTAGACTGACAAAGTTAAATTCTCAGCATTCAGTTATACTGGAAAAGATGTGAAAAAATGGTACATTCATTATTGTTAATGGAACTATAAACTTATATAGCCTTTAAGAATATTAATTTGAGAGTTAAATGCTGGGGTGTATACCTTTAATCCTAGCTACCCAGGAGATCTGAGGAATGTGATTTGAAGCCAGCCCTGGCAGGAAATTCCATGATTCTTTTTTTTTGGGGGGGGGGGAGGTCTGGTCGTGGGGCCTGAACTCTGGGCCTGGGCACTGTCCCTCAGCTCTTCAGCTCAAGGCTAGCACTCTACCACTTGAGCCACAGCACCACTTCTGGCTTTTTTCTTTTTGCTTATGTGGTGCTGAGGAATCGAACCCAGGGCCTCATGCATGCAAGGCAAGCACTCTGCCACTGAGCCACCTTCCCAACCCTCCATGATTCTTATCTCCAGTTAAGCAGCAAAAATCCAGGAAGGGAGATTTGGCTCAAGTGGTAGAGCACCATCTTTGAGCATGAAAGCTCAAGGACAATACCTAGGCTTTGAGTTCAAGTCCAACTTAATTTGAATCAAATTAAGAGCACCATAACTTTATATATAATTTGTAATATGGGACATCTGTTAGACTAAAAGTCCTGTTAAAAATATTTTCATTTTGTTTTCCTCCAGAATTTATATTCAGAGCACCAATCAAATTAAGCAAGCCAAGTGAACTTCGTGAGGAATATGAATGCCTAAGAAAGGTATAGTATAAATATTATCATAGCATTTCTCTTTCTTTCTTTATCTCCCTCCCTCCCTCCCTCCCTCCCTCCCTCCCTTCTTTCCTTCTTTCTTTCTTTTCTTTCTTTCTTTCTTTCTTTCTTTCTTTCTTTCTTTCTTTCTTTCTTTCTTTCTTTCTTTCTTTCTTTCTTTCTTTCTTTCTTTCTTTCTTTCTATCTTTTGGCAGTACTATGCATTGAATTTAGGGCCTCATGCTCTCTAGACAGGCACTTTATCACTTAAGCCAAGCCTACAGCCCCTGTTTATGTTATTGTCCAGGTAGGGTCTTGTTTTACACTCTGGCTGGCCTTGGCTGTGGTCCTCCTTGAGTTTCCCCATGTTACTGGTATGACAGGCATGTACAATTGTGTCCAGACATTGTGGTTCTATACTGTAGTTGAAATGACAGAGGTGTACCACCATTGGTTGAGATGGTGTTTTACAAACATGTTAGCCTGGGCTGGCTCCAAACCATGAGCTTTTATGTCTGCCCTGCAAGTAGCTAGGATAACAGGCTTGAGCCCCTATGTCCAGTCCAGTATTTATTTCATTAAAATTAATTGGCATAATAATATTAAAGAATGTTTAGTGGGGAGTTTTGATTCACTGGGGTTTTAAATTTTACAGCATAGAGCATGTGTGTGTGTGTGTGTGTGTGTGTGTGTGTGTGTGTGCACCTTAGAGCTTGAACTTAAGACCTGGATGCTAATTTTACAGCATAGAGCGTGTGTGTGTGTGTGTGTGTGTGTGTGTGTGTGTGCGCGCGCGCGCGTGCACCTTAGAGCTTGAACTTAGGGCCTGGATGCTAATTTTACAGCATAGAGCGTGTGTGTGTGTGTGTGTGTGTGTGTGTGTGTGCGCGCGCGCGCGTGTGTGCGTGTGCGCGCACCTTAGAGCTTGAACTTAGGGCCTGGATGCTGTCCCTAAGCTTTTTGGTTTAAGGCTAGTGATCTACTGCTTGAGCTCTACTTCTGATTTGCTTGTAGTTAATTGGCAGTAAGAGTCTCATGGACTTTCCTGTCTGAGCTGGCTTTGAACAAAGAGCCTCAGATCTCAGCCTCCTGAGTAGCTAGGATTACATGTGTGAGCCACCAGTGCTCTGCTTTTTTGTTGTTGTTTTTAATTACTGCTTTATGCCACTCTACTCAGATGTAGAGCTAAATTAAAAGTAAACTTTAAGAATTCCTTTTTTGAGTTTTTACGAAGATAGAAATGTAAGTCAGATGATCTATTATACACCTGCTACAATAGCTAGCCACCAAGAAAGAAAGAAAGGTATTTTTGGCAACTTTGGCAAATGCTCTTGCTAGCAATTGTTCATATTATTTTTCCTTGTCTTGCTAGGTACCACATGGAGCTATTGTTATTTTTGTTGCTCTTACTTTGTTAAGTATTCTAGAAGAACTATAATGAAGACAAATAAAAATTTTCTAATTAGGAAATGTTTATTACTGGGAAAGCTTTTAATTGTTTCCACATATTATTTTTGTTGTTTTCAAACTAATTTCTGGGGATTGTGCACAGAAGTTAGATTTGAAAAGTCTTTCCTATCTCTTTCCCCGTAATCACCAACATTCACTCATGTAGTAGAGTCAAGGATCTTTGACTTTCTGCTTTTTTTTTTGTCAGTTGTGGGGCCTGAATTCTGGGCTTGGGTGCTGTCCCTCAGCTCTTAAGCTCAAGACTAGCACTTTTTTTTGGGGGGGGGGGTGGTCTGGTTGTGGGGCCTGAACTCTGGGTCTCGGCACTGTCCCTCAGCTCTTCAGCTCAAGGCTAGTGCTCTACCACTTGAGCCACAGCGCCACTTCCGGCTTTTATCTTTTTGCTTATATGGTGCTGAGGAATCGAACCCAGGGCCTCAGGCATGCAAGGCAAGCGCTCTACCACAGAGCCACCTTCCCAGCCCCAAGACTAGCACTCTTGAGCCACCTTCTCAGACCAACTTTCTGCTTTTTGAGATTACTAGGAGTTGCTAAATTTTGTGATTACGAGTAGATTCATATTGTCAAATATGTTAGTCTTTTTCTTTTTATCATGTATTATAATGTCTTTCTAACATAAAATTAATGTAGAACAAAACGTCTCTTCCTACTTTTTCCTTTCCTAGAGGTAACTAGTACTAATGATGGGTAAGTTAGGCCCTTATGTATTTACACACACATGCACAGAGAGAGAGAAAGTGAGAGAAAGAGAGAGAGAAGGAGAGAGAGAAAAATCTTCAGTATGAATGAGATCATGGTGTGTATTTATTTATTTATTTTTGACAATACCAGGGTTAGACTCAGGGCCTAGCACTTGCTAGGTGTATATTTCTTTCTTTTAAAAAATCATTTTATTGTTACTGGGCTGGGAAGGTGGCTCAGTGGTAGAGCGCTTGCCTTGTATGCTCAAGGCCCTGGGTTCGATTCCGCAGCACCACATAAGCAAAAAGAAAAAAGCCGGAAGTGGCGCTGTGGCTCAAGTGGTAGAGTGATAGCCTTGAGCTGAAGAGCTGAGGGACAGCGCTCAAGCCCAGAGTTCAGGCCCCATGACCGGACCCAAAAAAAAAAAAATCATTTTATTGTTACTATTACAGTGTTACCCAGAGGGGCTACCATTTCATAAGTCAGCTTATGAGTACATTTCTTTTTTAGATAATGTCACCTTTGGACATTGTCATCTCTTCCTTTGCTTTCTCTCAGTTTCCCTTGTATATTCATTTCTTAATCAGATATCTGTTGTTCCTCTAGTATGGGCCAGGTATATGCTGAAGTGAAGAGGGTAGCATGGTCTTGGACCTCTGGGAGATTCCTTTCTAGGAAGGAAGACCTACAAAACATAAGCAAATAATTTAAAACATAATAAAGCCAGATAGAAAGCGTTAGAAAGGGAGCATGAGGGAAAATTGAGGAAATGCAATTTTAAATTGAGTGGTTAGGGAAAGTATATCAGAGAAGGCAGCATTTGAGGTGAGACCTGAAATAAGTAAAGGTATATAGACTGAAGATTCTAGGCAAAGGGAGAAGCAAGTGCAAAGGCAGAAACAAGTTTGGCTTGTTCAAGGAGAAAATAATTCAGTGCATCTAGAGCTATGTATAAGTGGAGGTGGAAGGGCAGTAAGAGATATGGACAGAAATGATTTGAGAGAAGGCCAGATCAAAGAAGACCTAGTTAACCTGGTAAACAGCATAAATTTATTTTAGGTTGACAGGAAACAGATAATACAGTCTCAGGTCACTGTGTGAGACATAAAACTATAATAAGTCTAGGAGTCTAATTGTTTTTATTGTGAATATTAGCGACCCCAAAATAATGACTCAACAAATGAAATATTTGAGGATCCTGCCAAGTGAATGGATTTTATTCTGTTGTTCTTGTGATAAAAACAAAGAAAATGTGTAACTGAGAGATGGATATGTTAAGTTCCTTCACTATTGTAACCATTTTTATGCCTATATTTACTTTGTAACATTATGTACTTTAAATATACACAATAAAATATATTTTAAAATAAACAGATGTGGAGGAGACAGTATATGGCTGATACAGCAGTTCTGCACCATTGAGGTTTCAGCTTCTTTTTATTTTTCTGTTTATATACATTCTTCCTTGTGGGATGAGATGGCTGGTCCTTTGCTAGATGCATGTTCAATCACCAGATAGAAGGGCACAGGCCAGTTGAATGATGTCATCTTAAAAGCTTTCTCCAAAGCTCCCCTGACCCTGTGACTTATATTTTATTTTCTAATGTTATAGGCTTCTTTCTGCTAGGAGGCTGGGAAATACACTGTCTAAGCTAGGGATATTAATTTCTTTAAAAAATTTATTGTATTGTAAAAATGCTGTACAGAGGGTTACAGTTACATGAGTAAGGTAATGAATACATTTCTTGTTGTTGTTCTCCTTTGTTGTTCTTCCACTATCCCTTCCCTCCCCTGCAGGGATATTAATTTCTTGAATAAAATCAGAGTGTTCTTAGTGAGGAAGAAAGAAGTGGACACTGGTTAGATAGCTAGCAGTCTCTGACTGCCTCATGGGATAACAATGGAGATAAGCACAGTTAGGTATTATACTCATAAATTGACATGTTGAATTGAGTTGTCTTTGTACAACATACAAGATAATAAAAAACAAAATTTAAAAACACTAAAAAGGACCAGTTTGAATATTTGTAGTGAAAATAATGTATTAGGCTTAACTAGAATTTGGATTTTAACAAAAGTTTGATGGAGAGATGCAGTAGAATTGAAGGCATATACAAGGAAGTTATTAGCGGTATCTTTAAAAATTTGTTTTTGAGACATGAGTCTTGCTGGGAAGCCCAGACTGGCCTCAAACTCCTTAATTCTCCCTGAGTAGTGGGATTATAAGTATGTATCACTGTACCCTACAAATTATTGTGACCACGAATCTCGGTTATTAAAGAGGGAATTGAAGACACGATAGTAAAAAAATAGATCAATGGACTAGATTTTTTTTTTGGGGGGGGGGGCACTTAAATTCAGAGCCTGGCTGCTGTTCCTGAGCTTTTGTGCTCAAGGCTGGCACTCTTACCACTTGGGCCACAACTCTACTTCTGGCCTTTTTGATCGTTAATTGGGGATAAGAGTCTCATGGACTTTCCTGCTTGGGCTGGCTTCACACAGTAGTCCTCAGATCTCAGGCTCCCGAGTAGCTAGGATTATAGGGATGAGCCACCAGCACCCAGTGAAAAGCAATCTTAAAACAACTATTTCATATGTTTTTTTTTTTTCTAGACTAGAGTAGAAGAGGATTTTAATTCCAGAATTTCCTAAAATTCTACTATTTCTGTGTAATTTGTATTTTTTAGTTGAGAGGAGAAAAGTTACAAGAAGAAAAGGCTTCTGAAGATCAGGTCCACAAACTATTACCAGATGATACAGAAACAGGGAAAAGGAAAATGGATGATCAGAAAAAAAAAGATGAGCCATTAGTACTGAAAACAAATCTGGAACATGTAAGTACATTTACCTTTTGGATGGATACCTCACAAATCAGTAGTTAGCCTAGATAACATGAATATGAAAGCAACTGTGTTGGTGAAGTAAGAGACTAGTAATAGTCATTGACTGTGTCATTTAAGGGTAGCGAAGAAGGGCAGCTCTCATCCAGATAAAAGCTGGAGAAAGTGGGATGGTGAGACCTGTAAGAGGAGAGAACAGCAAGAGGAAAATGTAGTGTCGTGTAGCGCATGTGATGTTTTATATGTGTAATGTCATTTAGACACACTATTGGTCTTTGACATTTAAGTTTTGTATATCTTATATCCATAGATTTCCTTAAAGGGTGTATTTTGCTCTGTGGTTTACTGTCATGTGAACAGAACAGTGCTTAGTTTTAAGATACTTCCTCAATATTATCTATTTAGTCTAAACTTGATATAATTAGACTTGTACATCTTTTACAACATTTTGATGCAGATTTATTTGTATTTTAGGTTATCTTTTTAGTAAGTTGGTGTTAATAAAGCTTTAGCATATATAAAATATAGCAGAGTAGAAAGAAAATCCTGGAACACAAGTCTACCTCTTAGGCCCCTGTGTTGCAACTAACTATACACTGTTAGCCAAGTTATATAATGTCTGAAATTCTGGTTTAATTTTTACACAAAGACATTTGCCCTGAACTTCAGAAATTGAAATTTATTTAAACTGGGTCAATGATACTTTCTGACTGCCATATGCTCTGTGTGTGTGTGTGTGTGTGTGTGTGTGTGTGTGTGTGTGTCCCCTGGAGTTTGAATTCTGGGCCTGGGCACTGTTCCTGCTCAAGGTTAGTGCTCTGTCACTTGAGCCAAAGCTCCACTTCACTTCTGCCTTTTTCCTGGTTAATTGGAGATAAAAGTCTCACGGACTTTCCTGCTTGGGCTGGCTTTGAACTCTGATCCTCAGATCTCAGCAGGATAACCTGAGTAATCAGGATAACGGATGTGTGCCACTGATGCCTGGCTTGGGGCTTCTGATTCCAGTTATAATAATAATAATAGTAACTATTCTTCAATTATTATTTTAAAAAATACTACATAGATGCCAGTATGGTAACATACCTCTATAAAATCCCAGCATTCAGGAGGCTGAGGCAGGAAGGTCATGATTGGAAGTCAGCCTGGGGAAAAGTTCACGAGGCCTTGTCTCCACCAGTAAAAGCTGTCATGGTGGCATGTACTTGTCATCCCAGATATTCAAAAAGTATAAATAGGAGGATTGAGAATCAGGCTAGCACAAGCTACTATTCTGAGTCTATTCACCATCAGTGAAAGATAATAACAATCATTGTTTTAATAGGTCTGATATAAAAAATTGTTGAAGTATTTACAAGTATTAGAGTATCCAAAACCTCTATTTAAATGAATAATGGCTTATAAGTAAGGGAGGAAAAAGAGTCATAGATAGCATTGAGGTGTCTAGATAGTTTGGTGATAGGACTTAGAGAAGGAGAATAGTGAGTTTGATTTTGGATATATGAATTTGAACTACATTTGGGTTTGGGATATCCAGGATGCATATGCAAACATAGATCAGAACTCAAAAAGTGATTCAGAAAAAGCAAGCTTTGAAGCTGTAGCTAGAACATATTCCACAAGAATCCCAAATGGACAGTGTTGTCTACCTTGTCTCCTTGTCAGTGTCCTGCACGTCTCTCAGATTCAGAGAATGAAGAACCTTCTCGTGGCCAGATGACACAGACACATCGCTCGGCATTTGTTTCCAAGAACAACTCCTACTCCTTAGCTTTCCTGGCAGGGTAAGAGACTGATATCAAATTCTGTTCAAGTTCTTTCATTTGATGGTGACAAAACAGACCAAGGGTGCACAGGTATTGTTGTAGCTACTCTGGGGGAGTTGGAAGGGATGAAAAGAAGTTGAATCTGAGTTTTCATAGATGGAGAATTGTTAAAGAAAAGCAATATTTTCTGCCATCCTCAGGGTAGAATTATGCTAATTTATCTGCTGCAAAGTATCCTAAAGGGAAACAACAAAGTCATCTTTGGTCTGACAATATCCATAGATTCTCCCTTTGGTTCTTTTTTGTTTTTTGGTCGGTGGTGGGGCCTGAACTCTGGGCCTGAGCGCTGTCCCTCAGTTCTACAGCTCAAGGTAAATAGTGTTTACTATTTCTTTGTTTGTTTTTTTTCTCTCTCTCAGGACTTAAAAAAATTTTAGTAGGAACTGAGGCCAGAGTTGATATCCTTTTGATTGTCTACAACTAACTATATCTTCATGTGTTTCAAAAAGGAAACATTTTTAAGCCCTTTCTTAAGAAATCTCTTGATCCTTTAGACTTTGCATGTTCTGGGGATGAAAGAAGAGAGGAATTAGATGAATATTATAAAGATAATTAGGTGGAAGGGAGGGAGACATGGAGATAGGAAAGGTGGGAAGAATCATTCATTCAGGAGACATTCTGGGAATAGCTACTGTGTACCTTTGGTCTGTTTTAATGATGCAAAAACACACAATCTTTACTCCAGTTTGTTTTTGTATAAAGCTGATGAAATTTCTCACCCAAATTCAGGAGTCTGAGATCTAAGGATGAAGGTGTGAACTTAGCCAGGGCAGACAAATTTGGAGACTTTCATCTCCAACCAACCAGAAAAAAAGCCAAAATTGGAGGTGTGGCTCAAATGGTAAGAGTGCTAGCTCAGTAAAAGCTTCCTGAGAGTGTGAGGTCCCTAGTCAAGCCCCAGTATCAGCACCCCCTACCTCCCCCCAGAATAGAATTTATTGTTATTACTGGGTATGTTAGCTGTGATATCAGCTACTTTGGAGGTATATATTCAGAGGTTTAAGACTAGTCAGTGCGAAAGTTAGCAATACCCTGTTTTAACAACAACAAAAAACTAGGCATGTTAGAAATTCAACAGAGTTTAGAGATGTCTGTAGTGTCTTTGTCATTTTAGAATGGAAATGTCCTGGTAGTTTCCAGAAAAGCCTAGAATAAGGTGAGGGATAGAATGAGGGGAACTGGCTTTTGCCTAATGCTTCCTAATTCTTCCTGCCATGTTGAGTTCTTTCTATACCTCATGTAATATGCTCAGATTATAGCGAAGGAAACTGCAGCTCAAAGAGGTTTTCATTAGGCATTCTAGCTACAGAGCATTTAGTGGGATTGGTTGATGCATTACACTTGAACTGTCCCTCTCCCAGTTCTGCTGTCACACATTCTCCCCCAGAAGTGTTGATCCTAAGACCATTCTCCAAAAAGCTGTTGTGTATGTGCTTATGTGTAAACAAACTTTGGTTCGGTACTGCCTCAAGAACCTGTCCACTCAGTGGAGTGACAGCTAGCGTTAGAACCTAGTTCTCTTTTGACTCCAGATGCAAATGTTCTTTCTGTCAGTTGTCAAAGCTCTGTGACAAGAGGCCCTGTATTTGAATATTTGTCTTGAAATAATCTGTCTTTCGAACAGAAGACTGTTTCTGTTTTTTTTTTTTTGTTGTTGTTTTTAATACAAGGTTACTACAGAGGAAGGTGAAAAGCTGTTTGAGGAAACTTAAATACTTTCATATTCTGCTAGGCCTTTTGGAATAGAGCCAAGAAAAGAGTGTTCCTGTTCACTTGCTTAGCAAAAGATATAGTAGTCTGTGTGAATGGCAGAGATGGGAGGATTGTAGTTCAAGGCTAGCATGGGCAAAAAAGTTAGGGAAGTCCTATCCCCCCCCCACCCCGGAAAAAAAGAGAGTGGGCAAATAGAGAGAGAGACAGAGAGAAAGACAGAAAGGGAAGGAAGGAAAGAAGGAAGGAAGGAAGGAAGGAAGGAAGGAAGGAAGGAAGGAAGGAAGGAGGGAAGGAGGGAAAGAAGGAAGGAAAAAAGAAGCAAGGAAGAAAACTGGGTTTAGTCATGCACACCTGACCTGTAATTCTAGCTACATAGGAAATGAAGATAGAAAAAAATGCAGTCTCAGAGTCAACTCTGAATAAAATCAAAACCCTATCTGAAAAGTAAACAAAACAAAAAGGGCTTCAGGCATACAACCAAGTGTTAGGGTGTTTGCCTAGCAAGGACAAGGTCCTGGGAGGTTCTCATTTCAAACTTGAGTACTAAAAAGGAAGGAAAGCAGGAAGGAAGGAAAAGATGGACTTATAGTTAATATATTAGGGAAGAGAGAAAGGAAGGAATGGAGAAGAAGGGAGGGAGGATCGATTTATTGTTAGAATTCTATTATTTCAGTGTTCAGAATAGACAAATAAGCATACTGGCTTTCTTTTTTCTTTCCTTCAGTACCAGGGGTTGAATCCAAGGCCTCAAACTTGCTAAACAATCTGTCTACCCCTGAGCCACACCCTCATTCTCATTGGCTTCCTTTTCAATTCCTTCCAATTAATTTTGGAAGTAATCCAAAATTAATTGTTGAAATAGTTAAAGAATTCTGAATATACTAAAATTTATTATATTTTTTACTTAAACATAAAATGAATGCTGTAGTATAGACAGAGGAGGTATTCCAGATCATGAACACACAAGAGGAGGGTTGTAACAAAATCTCACTCATTTTTGGGTGCATAGCAGCTGGGCCAAAGCTTAATGAAGCTTCTGGTAGTTGTGTGTGTGTGTGTGTGTGTGTGTGTGTGCACTTATGCACACATGTTCATATGTGTGTATCCCCATCCTCTCAAAATGTGACTTGAAGGTATGCCAGTTTCTTAACTAAGAAACTTGTAGGCTGGGGGCATGGTTCAGTGGTAGAGTGCCAGCCCTAGGAAGCCTGAGGCCCTAAGTTCAAAACCCAGTTACTGCCAAAGAAAAAATAACAAAAACAGGAAAAAAAAAAAAAACCCTAGCCAGGCACCGGTGGCTCAAGCCTGTAATCCTAGCTACTCAGGAGGCTAAGATCTGAGGATCAAGGTTCAAAGCCAGCCTGGGCAGGAAAAGTCCTTGAGACTCTTATCTCCAATAAACCACTCAGAAAACCAGAAGTGGTGCTGTGGCTCAAGTGGTAGAGCACTAGCCTTGAGCTGAAGAGCTGAGGGACAGCACCCAGGCCCAGAGTTCAAGCCTCACAACCGACCAAACCCCCCCTCCCCCCCCCCCAAAAAAAAAACCCTATAAGAAACAAACACCAAACAACAACAACAAAAGAACCCAAGAAAATTGTGTGGTGTAGAGGTCTGAAAGATAAAAGTACTGAGTGAGGAACCAATAGCATGATCTGATTATTGTTTTATGTCATATTATTATCATTTGAATTCTTTCAAACAGCATTTTACAAGCATTAAGTGTCCTAGCTTTCTAGTCGCAAGTTTATACCAGCTGCCGCCTTGCTTTTCTTTGTAAGTCAGACTCATTGTGGTTGTGGGTATTTTTAGTCAACTAGGCGTCCTAGAAAACCATCTGGCTCTTGGCTGTGAAAATTTTAAACCTGTTGACTTTTAGACAATGCTGCTTTCTCTTGTTTATAACTTAATTATGTGTTCAAATAGTGCTTTCCTAGATGTATCGGGTCTCTCCTAAGGCAGAGTAGAGTAGAATGTTAGTATTCTGTGGCAATAAGAACATAAGCATAGATTCATAGTGATTCTCTGGTTTTAAGCTTCATCCCAGAAATGGAGGAAAGAGAAGATCATGTCTCTCATTTCTCTGTCTACAAATTGGGAATTTATGATACCCATCTCAGAGTTTCTGTGTGGATTAAATGTGAAAATATATTTAAAATATTTAGCACAGTACCTGACAGAAAATGGGGTCCAAATGAATGTTCAAAAATTCCCCCTTTTCTTAAGAGAGAGACATTTCTGCACATGTTTTTATTTATTTGTAAGACATACTGTGTTTGAGTTGGGGTTACAGCAATGAATGTGCAAGAATGAGGGAGAAGTAATTACTTTCCCTATTTTTTAGTGAAAGTATTGTTTGAATTCTTTCAGTCCTAAGAGCATTAACAAGTTCTTGACTATTCTGAGCCAGCATTTTGAAGATTCTTTACTTAACGAAAGCTACACAACAAAAATAATAATATCTTTATTTTTTTAATTAATTTAATTTTATTTGTGAACATACTGTACAGAGGGGTTACAATTACATGGGCAGGATAATAATAATACCTTTATAACATATTGATTTTTTTTTGCCTGTCCCGCAGCGCCTGGGTGCTGTGCTGAGCCTGTTTGTGCTCAAGGCTAGTGCGCTACCACTTGAGCCACAGTACTACTTCTGGCTTTTTTGAGTAGTTTATTGGACATAAGAATCTCATGGGGACTTTTCTGCCTGGGCTGGCTTTAAACCATGATCCTTAGATCTCAGCCTCATGAGTAGCTAGGATTACAGGCGTAAACTACTAGCACTAGGCCTATATTGATGTTTTATACAATACATTTATGACTTTAGTGACTCTTTGTATTACCCCATATCTGCAGGAGGGCTTCAGAATAGTAATGGTAATAAAACCCCTTTCTTGTCCAGTAATTAGATATTCATTCAGCATTATCTAAAAAGATACTTTACCTAGTGATATCAACAAAAATTGGCAGAGCCAGGACCTCCAAAAGCCCATCTCCTTGAGACTGGGAATGTGGCTTAGTGGTAGAGTGCTTGCCGAGTGTGCATGAAGCCCAGGGTTCCATTCCTCCATACCACATAAAAAGAAAAAGTCGGAAGTGGTGCTGTGGCTCAAGTGGTAGAAAGCTAACCCTGAGCAAAAGAAGCTCAGGGACAGTGCATAGGCCCTGCATTCAAACCCTAGGACTGGCAAAAAAAAAAAAAAAAAAGCCCATTTCTTTTACAGTTAAAACTATCTGGAATTCCAGAAACTAATCAAAAGTTTATAGCAATTAATGGATGCTTAATTAAGGGGGAAAGAAGAGAGCTGAGTCTTGGCACTTAAGGAATTCTTTAATTAATAACTGACTATTAAGCCAACTTGTATTAGAGACTTCAGTGGCCACATGTAACAAAGAATAGACTTTACAAAATCAGTGTTTAAAAGTTACTAATTAAGACCCAGGTGGCTATAATCCTAGCTACTCAGGCTGAGATCTGAAGATCAAAGTTTGAGCCCAACCTGGGCAGGAAAATCCATGAGAATTTTATCTCCAGTTAACCATCAAAAAGCTGGAAGTGGAGCTGTGGCCTAAGTAATAAAGTAAGGGACAGCACTCAGGCCTAAGTTCAAGTCCCAGTAACAGCACATACAAAAATTAAAAAGTAAATTCATCAAACAACTGCAGTACACAAAAACAACAAATCCAGGGGAGAAAATCTGATTTGCATATTGTATTCTATACTATTATACACATTATACTATACCATTACAATATAATCAGTGTGCACTGTAACATTTTGATCAGTAGATCACTATGACAGTCTATATTAGATAGCCTAAGTGCTAGCCTAAGTAGGTTATACCATCTAGACATGTGCAGATAAACCCTGTTATGTTTGTGTAATGTAATCATTGCTCCTGCCTTTATACACACGTTTTTTGTGCCCCATCACCATATTGCATTACATATTTGACCTGGGCTTTGATTTTTTACACATTTCCACTGTCTCATTTTCCGATTGTCAGAGTCTGGATAGTACCTCTCAGTGTCTGGCATGTAGTAAGTACATGATAAGTGCTTGCTTGGTGAGATATATTAGGCAAGAATTGTGGAGTAGGAAATAAAGGTAAGAAATTAATTATGGTCTGCAGGGAAGATGAAAGTTGCATGTGATTCTATCACAACATAAAATTTACATATAGCTGGCTGGGACACCTAAATTTGGAGTTAGACCCCAGCCTCATATCATATGCAAAATTTAATCAGCATGAACCAGAAACCTAAACGTAAGCACCCAAAATGTAAAATGCTTAGAAGAAAACATTTGGGGGAAGGGAGTTAGCTACATAGGAACTGTTTTCTCTCAGCATTCATCTTGCTAAAATTTAGTGGACTTCAAAATACAAATAGGTACTGTGGAGTTTCATTTGGGTTTGTAAAGTCATAGTGTAAGTCATAAGAAAAAAATCATGTGTTCTCAAAGCCTCATAAATAACCAAGATTTAGACTTTGGAAACTAAAATGTTATGAGTTAAGGTAGAGACTACATTTAATTTTGATACCTTACATAAAAATCCTACCATGAGCCAGGCATTAGTGGCTCACACCTGTAATCCTAGCTGCTCAGGAGATTTTTGAGGGTCATTGTTGGAAGCCATCCCTGGCAGTAAAGCCCTCAAGACTCTTATCTCCAATTAACTACCCAAAAAGTAGGAAGTGGAGCTGTTACTCAGTGGTAGAGCACTAGCCTTAAACACAAAAGCTCAGGGACAGTGTGACCATGCCTAGGCTGAGTTCCAGCACCAAGACTGACACACACACACACACACACACACACACACACACACACACACACACACACACACACACACACACACACACACACACACACACACACACACACACACACACACACACACACACACACCATGCCTAGGCTGAGTTCCAGCACCAAGACTGACACACACACACACACACTCTCACTCACACACACACTCTCTCACTCACTCACTCACTGCCACTACCGTGCATTTTTTATAAGTACTTCAATGTTTGTTTCATGGAAAGGCTAAGTACTTCAATGTTTGTTTCATGGAAAGGCTAGTTTCAGTTGTTTGAGAAGAGGTTTGAGCTTAATAACTAGAAAATGTTTGTAAGAATGATTTACTGCTGAATGCACCCTATTAAGAATAATGAAGTGTCCTAATATCTCTCTAACATGAGCAGAATAGACATTGATCTTGCTTCATTTTGTCTACTGTGGAAGTAAAAGCTTGAACAAGGTGTTCTCTGTAGAACATTCTCTTTTGGCAAGATTTGCTCTTAGAGTGTATTTCATTAATAAATTAATTCATTTTCTATTGTAGCACAGCAAGGGATCTTTCTTGGTTAGTGACTTAGAATGCATAAAAGAGATTATCTTTCCCTCAATTATATGGACTAATTTTGACATTTGCCTTCATCTATTAATCTATTTATTTGCAGGAAGCTCAACTCTAAAGTGCAGAGGAGTCAAAGCTGCAGTGACACAGTCCAAGACAGAGTGAAGAGCAGATTCAGAGCAGCTCAACCCAACAAAGCCAAGGTACACCTCAGCCACAGGCTTCCAGGGTACCCTAGCCACACATGGCTTCTTCTGCACATTGCCACAAAAGAATGATTCCAAGTGAGAAGAGGTATAATGGGTCCTAGGCACATTGTATTGGCTATAGTGGAGAATTCTATACAAAGGTGTGAAGGAGGAAGGTTTAAATTAGTAACCAGATGGATGTCATTAGGCCATTCGAGAAAAAAATGCTCTAAAGTGTCCCCTTCTTCAAGTCTTTGTTGTTTCAAGTGTGTAGGAATTTCTGTTAAATGATACAAATTTTAGGTTAAAGATTTTTTTCCCTCCTTTTTAATTTTTGGCCTGGTCCTGGGGCTTGAACTCAGGGCCTGGGTGTTGTCTCTGAGCCTTTTTGCTCAAGGTTACTGCTCTTCCATTTGAACCACAACTCCATTTCCAGCTTTTTGTTGGTTAATTGGAGATAGGATATCTCACTGATTTTTCTGTCCTGGATGCTTTGAACTGGCTTCTAACCAGGAACCTCAGATCTCAGCCTTCTAAGTAGCTAGTATTACAGGTGTGAGTCACTGGTACCTAGATTTTTTCCTGTTTCATAGGTTCACATTACTTATTCATTATCTTGTCCTTCTCTTCCCTATCTTCCCACCATCTGTAGTAATTATGTAGAAACACACACATACCCACACATAAAACCTCTGAAATCTCTTTCAGGTCACAACTATGGCTCCAGCCTCCAACCCCATTATTGGTGTCCTTTTGTCTACTCAAAACAATCGTTGCCTCTCAGCTCCTGACTTAACAATTGAAAAACGTCTACCCTTCAGTTCCCTCTCATCTTTGGCCTCCTTGCATAAGCCAGAACGTTCCATCAGTCCTGAAAGCAATGATAGCATCTCCGAAGAACTAAACCATTTCAAGCCCATTGTCTGCTCTCCATGCACTCCTCCCAAGAGACTCCCTGATGGGCGTGTTCTGAGTCCCCTCATCATCAAATCGACCCCTCGAAACCTCAGCAGAAGCTTGCAGAAGCAGACTTCTTATGAGGCCAGTCCACGAATTCTCAAGAAATGGGAGCAGATCTTTCAGGAACGGCAGATCAAAAAAACCCTTTCAAAAGCCACTCTCACCTCTTTGGCCCCTGAAACAGGGGAAGATTTACCCAGTTCTGAAGTTCTGTATTCTAGTAAAGAGAAGCCAATTCTGGCTTTAACTACAAGATGGTCCAGTGAGCAGATACTCTGTGAGTGTGTCACCTCTGCTGAGCTTGAGAATTTCTCCTCTGATAGCCCAACAAAATCAGAAGAAGACAGTGGTAGAAAAAGGAGCACCGAGGTCCCACTGGAAACTTGCCATCCCATAGAACTCAAAAGGGCAACCAGTGGGACTTCTTTGGATGGGAAGCAATTTGAGGGGTCGGGGTCAATTGCAGATGCTACATTAGACAAGAGCTGTATAAACACATCTATGAAAGTCTCGGCAGTTAATTCAGTGTTACCCCAGAACAATGTTTTGGATGGGGTCCTCAAAACAAAGAAACAGCTAAAGGCATTGAATCATTTTGATGGGGCTAATGGTGTTCTGGTAGATGGCTTCAATGAGGAGCCACTTCCTTCCTTGCGTCGGGGTCGGAAAAGGCATTGTAAGACCAAGCACCTGGAACAAAATGGCTCCCTTAAGAAACTGCGACAAACTAGCAGTGAAGTGGGTCTGGTCCCAAAAGATCCAGTACTTCGAGAGATGGAGCAGAAATTGCAGCAAGAAGAACAAGACCGACAGCTAGCTCTGCAGTTGCAACGTGCGTTTGACAATGAGAGGCGGACTGTGAGTCGGCGAAAAGGACGTGTGGATCAGTATCTCTTAAGGTCCAGCAGCATGGCAGGGGCCAAGTAGCATTTAATGAACAGTGGTATCTGTTTTTAAGAGGTCTTTGCCCTGGATCATTCATCTAGAAGAGCTGAGTGTGCTCACTTTGGGTTTCTTTTCATGGCAAAACACTGTCTAATAATGGTTCTGAGAGGTACCAGGGTCTTGGTAAGTCAAAATCCAAGGGAACTGCATCTCTGTTCTCTCTGACCCAGGCCAGAAGCACTCCTCCCCTGAGTGACCCAACTTGGAGAACTTCTGGGTCAAATCTGGTAGCACCCACTTGGAATGAGATTTGGAATGGCCTCATTCAGAAAAACAGTGGCCAGAGTTAGAAATGGTAGAGGGAAGAGGGATACCTTCTCAAATAGATAGACCTCCTGACATTTTTCAATTGTGTCTTGTTTTAAATCAGCCTTGCAGATAAAACATTTATCCCAACTTTTTCAAAGAAGTGGAGCTGTGGGTACTTTGGAATATCCAAAAGGATAGATTAAATATGTTTTCTCTCTTTCCTCTTGCCACAGATAACCCTGTCATCCTAAATCAGTGGAGCTTATTCTTCTGCAACTTGGCTTACATTCTCGATTTAAAAATGACATTTGGCAAATGCTGTATGGCTGAGAGAGCACATTCATAGACATTGTTTAATTTGTTTATCCTAAGAGACCTGACTTGTAAGTGATATTAGCCCCAGCTGTAGATGATGAAACTGCAGCGCACATGTTCAGTTTCTTGCAGCTACTAAGCAGTATAGTCCACGGTGATGGTTGCTCAAATGAACTGTCAGTGACACCTAGAAGAAGCACTGATAGTGCAAAACTGACCTGCAAGTCCTTAGATGGATGGGGAGCATAAACATGTGCTATAAGTTATCTACTGTGCCCCCCACCCCCATCCCTATCTACAGTCTTAAGCTTTCCTAGGGGTTCCAGCCTGTGAGACAAAATACAATTGGGGCTTTATGATTACTTTTTACATGGCAATGGTTATCTGCAATGTTGATTTAAAATCCTAAAAACAAATTGTCCCAAAGTCAGGCAAAGAACAATGCTGAAACTCCATACTATGGAAACAAGGTATCTAGCTGGATGCAGCTGGTAAATTCAGTCCCATGGACATTTGGGGTTATTTTTCTTAGCAGCTGACACTGTGTGTCTTTTGCATCCCAAGTGGTGCTTGGTGCTTCTGCCCTTCTGGGCTCATTGAGAATAGAGATTAGGTTATGATTTTAGAGAATCTCAGATGGGCTAGCATTCCCTGTGATTGTATGAGTTGTTACCACAGTCATGTGACTGGCATTTTAACAAACCTCCTGGAGCTTGTATATTGCAATGTGTGATATTCCCCTTGAGTAGTCCCCAAGCAGGATACTACAGCTTTCCCTAATGGTGTTACCTTTGGTCAAAACATTTCTGAAACTGCCTTCAAAGTCTGGAAACACCTAGGGGCATAGACTCACTCAAAATGTTAGAATGGGAAAGAACCTAGTCTTCTGTTCTAGTCTACTCTTTTGGCTAAGGCAGAGACTGAGGGCCAGAACAGACTCATTGGCCATAGAATACTAATAGCACATTCTTCTCAGGACAGGTTCTATCTCAAATTTAGTTACAAGAGGATTTTAAATTTGGAACTAGCCAAAAATGACTTGGAGTCTCTGGGAAGACAAGTAGGTTGTCAAAATCAAGGGTGTGGAGTCAAAAATAAGATGTCACTGTGAAGCAGTCCGAGCCATTCTCTTCTGTAGCGCACCTTTCCCACACAGTTCTCAAAGAGGAGGATGTCCAGAGGTGCCAGGCGGGTTGTGGTCATCAGTGGGACATGTGGGGTCTCTTCAGTGACCACTTTGGTGGTAAATACCGTGTCCTCTGTGTGTGTGTGTGTGTGTGTGTGTGTGCATGTGTATAGATGTGTATGTTGTAAAAATATGCATCAGTCTCATACTTTATATTCACGCTGCTCCCTTCAATTCTAGGACCTGTGCATCTGTGGCCTCTCGGGGCTGTGAGAGGGCATGTTAGTGGTTCCAGGAGAAGAGCTGGCACTGGTCTGCAGAGGACAGGGATGGTGACCATTCTAAATGCTTGTAAAGAAAACATACCACCTCCTATATTTCCACTTTTGATCATAGTAAATATTATGGGGAAGGCTAATCTTGATGGTAGAAACAAAGACACATATTTTTCCACTTGCCACCGTTTTGTATATCCCCAATAATTTGAAAAGTGCTTTCAGTTGGAATTTTGTTTTTGGTAAAAAGATAAATATTTTTAATAGATGAAAGCTATATATTTTAAATAGTTCCCCAAGTGAATACTTTAAGAATGTGCATAGTAGCAGCAACAAGTTTTTTTCAGGTGCAGAATGAAAAGCTCTTTCTTGTAGCAGATAATCCAAACCCTAGATCCAGCTTCCTGATCGCTCCCTGTGCACCTGCCGTGACGGCCAAGATGGTGTGGGCCAGGCCACTTCCCACACCGATTGCTGAACAGCAGTCCTTCAAATGTAGGCTCAACAGTTTAGTTAAGGAGGGAAGAGACTTACTTTGTAATCAGCTTGGCTTTGGAGAAGGAAAAAAAAAACATCACTAAGGTATTATCTGTATTTAAGATTCTTTTCATACTTAATAACTGAAACTTGAACACCTTCAGAAAAATTTCCATCTCTTGTTGCTCATCTGTGAACGTGGACACAGAATTGATAGCACAGCAAGAGACAAGAGGAGAAAATATAATGGGGGAGGGAAAATAGAATGAGAGACACAAAATAATCGTTTTGTTTTGCTCACAAATCACTGAAGTAGTCCTACAGTGTTCCTTGTGTGTATACCTTGTGTTTCCATGCAAAAAGGGAAATTTTGAGAGGTGGAAGAATGGGAGTCATTTTGATGGAAAGTCCAAGAAATGTGTTGCCCTCAGGAGTCTCTCAGCCTTTTCTACACTTTGGGAACATGTTCATGACTTGTTGATTGTCCCTGTTGGAAGAAGTCATCTATCTTGAGCCTTGTTGGCTTGGCTTTAGATCAAAGGATTATGCACCCAGCCCCAGGCCCTTTCCTTGACTTGCCTCTTTTTAGAAAAGATTACATCTGGCAGAGGCCTGCCAGAGAAGCCTTTTTCTATGTTTTCATTTGTTTTTTTAATTTTTTTAAGTTTTTTTTTTTCCTGAAGGAAATGCTAGTCGCAGATATTTTCCTCTTGTTTTCCTTTAAGAAAAAGGGAAAAATGTCCTCCAGAGATTAAAATTACTTCATTGTTTTTTGAATACCAACTGACTAAAATGGGAGGCAGAGGACTAAAGGCTGCAGTGTTTATCTTCGTTGTTAATTTGATGCATACATAGAAGCTCTTAAACTTGTGCCAATCCTGTGGTGGGTCGTGAGATACAATGATAGTCTCTGCTCTGGAGATGCTTAATGTCCAGTGGAATGTACTTGAATGTGTGTGGTGGGTGTATGTGTGTGACTGGACAGTATGATAATGGTCTTACAGAAGGCCATTACTTTTATAGCAGTGTTCTTTCATGACCCTATTTTGCATGTCCAGCACCCAGCAGGCTGCCTTGAACATTTTAGACACCCCATCAGTATTTAGGCTTTTGATTGTAACAGTGCTTTTCATTTCCAAAGTAATTTTACCAGGGAAAAATGAATCTTCTTCTGTAATGACTACAGAAGAATCACCCCTCTTCAGGAGCAGCTTTTAGTCAGGCCCCTAGAAATGAAACAGGTTGTGGATCACTGACATGGTCACTTGCTAACTTCCTAACCCTTTCCCCAACCTCACCTCCAGCTTCACCTCTCACCAGAGCTGGCAGCAATTTGAGATCCCTTTTCTTTTCCCTCACTGACTTTTTGCTGTCAAGAGCAAGAATGGCGAAAGTGCAGAAAGAATGATAATCATGGAATGGTAGAGCTGGAATAGGCATTGAAATCATTCAAGCTAAAATTCCTCACCCCTTTTTCTAACAAATGAAGTTCTACACATACACACACTTTGTGAATAAAAGGCATACCCAAATTATGTAGGAGGTTCTTAAATAGCTTTTTCTTATTTTTTTATTAAGATTAAAATGTACCTAATCCCCTAAGTATACACTCAGGTAGGGAAAACCCCCATGATGTAATGTAAGAGTGGAATCATGGAAACGGATATGATTTGGGTTGGTATAACTCATTTTTGCTAAGGGCTAAAATCTATCCAGCCCTTCATTTTCTCCTTGAAAATCAGAAACTCCTTAGTGTTTTTAAATGTTTCTTAACCAGTCTTTTTCTCATCAACAAATAAAGTGGTCTTTTGGCCTGGTCTTTGGAATGAACTGACCCGGCTATGAATTCTTACTCAGTAGAAAGTGGGTCAGATTCTAGGGCAAGAGGGCTAAGCAGATTTTCTTCTGAAGATGATTCAGAATTGTTTCTTTATACATGATTGTCATTACTGGAACATTCTGAAGACCACCATCTGTAGAAAAGAGACTTAGAGATATGCAGAGGTTACCTGTTTAGATATTAGCCCAGTTGGATAAAGAGGAAAAGTGCCAAGACTGAACGGGCTGATTGCTTTTATGTGTTATCAGTGTGTATTTTTTTCTACGTAGAAAAAAAGTACTCTTTCCTTTGTGAGTAAATGGGTCTTTAATGTTTTGCTAGGAAGGTGGCAACTTTTTATATGTGAAAGGCAACCTCAGATTCTAAGCAGGCTCCCTCCAACCCACCCACCCCTTTTCTAGTGTCTAGAGACAAAGCCAAGATAAAGCAAGGTTTGTTCATCTTCCTTTCCTGTCATTTAATTTGAGGTACAAATAATGTACTTGCTAAGTATCAAGTTATTAAATCTCGAGTACCTTTTGGCCCAGGTTACAAGTTAATATGGCAGCAGATTCTCCATGGTCGTCACCACCTACCCTCTGAACTATGCCACAAAAGGAGCAGGGGTTTTCCCTCAATCAGGTTTGCATCAAACATGGCATCACCAATGCTGGGCCTCTAGCAGAGCACTTAAAAAATCCTGAGAGAACAGGTTTTATGATGAACTTAAATGCCAACTATTGGATTTTTCTCTTGTGCACAATGTACCCTTAACATGTGTATAAATACAGTTGCCTAAGGACTTTCCCCTTCTCTCCTGGAAATGGAAAATGGGTTGTCTGTTGGGCTTAGTCAGCCTGCTGCAGCTCTCTGGTGGTCCAGTGATAATATATTCAACTTGCTGTCTTCATTAGAACTGGAAGAAGGCCTGGATCCTTGTGGACTTCCCTTCGCCTGATTCATCATAAAGAGCATTTTGACAAAGACAGAACTTGGAACAGGGATGACTTGTCAGGAATGCTTCTATCACAATGAAATGATGTGGAATTGAGTGGGATGATGTGTTTATTTCAACAGTACCAAAGTGCATTTTTCAATGTATTGTCTGCCTGCTTGAGGCAAGGCCCAAGTTGAAAATACAGTAAAGCAAACTCATGAAAAGTTAATGTTCTGCTTCTTATCAGTCTTGACTCTGGAGAGCAATGTCTGACAAACATGAATAAGCTTCAACTGTACGATGTGTTGGGTTCTGTGAATGTGGAGGTCCCCTGTGTTGAAATGCTTTGCTGCTACATCCCGAATGATGGGAGAAGTTAGAATCTGGGATGAGATTTCCGAGGTATATGATGACATTGGATATGTTATGATGTAAGTTGTCTCCAATATACCACTTATTCTCTCATGATCAATTCAGCCCAGAGTGTGAGTAAAGAATGAATGTGGAGGATGACATTGTCCTTGCATGAGGGCTATATTTAGAAATCTGATATGTGCATGTGTGTGTGTGTGTGTGTGTGTGTGTGCGCATGTGCAGATTGAACTCAGGAACTATCATTCTTGCTCAGCAGTTTTGCTCATAGTTGTTCTATTATTTGAGCCAGACCTCTAGTTCTGGCTTTTTGCTGGTTAAATAGAAGCTGCCTTGAGGTTGTACAGGGATGTGTCTACAGTCTGATCACCATTCTGACTAAAGGGGCAGTCCAGGGGATTCTCCAGTATTCGAACTTGAAGCTGGTGATGTGACTGTTGGGTAGATTCTTACAACCGCAATATGTTTGGTACTCCAGGAAATCCATGCTGTCAGCAGCATGCCCTTAAACATAGCTGCTGCTGTGGGTCAGCATATATTACATGCATCTCTTCAGAAGCCTTTTCCGCTTGGTGTTCCCTGTGTTTATGCTGCATGATGGCATACCATCCTGTCAATATTGGCTGTTGTGAGACTAAAAATTGAGTACACTCACATGCACATATTTAGTTGCAAATCAGGTTGTCTCTGCTTGCTGAGGATCCATAATCCTTATACCAGTGCTTCCTGGATCCTAGGGGTTGCAGGCCTGCCATCTCCAGGTGGCATCTTCAGGAAAGGAACCTTGGAGCAAGAGTTGTCCAAATGACTGGATCTGTCCAACATTTGTCCCCAAATATTCATCCTGGAATCCAGCCTGGTGGCCTTGTCCAGCTCCTCTTCTGTAGCAGATGCTGGCAACTGGGCATGCACCAAGAATGGGGCAGACTGCCTTGACCACTGACACTGCGCAAGCCAGAGGTCTGGTGTGGAGGCAAAGCCAATGTGGTTGTACTGAGTCCTCAATTTGTGTCCTGGATTTCCGGACTGTGGGAAATCCCACATAAATGCTGGCCTTTGTTGGTTCCATCATCCCTTTTCCCCCAAACAAGAGAAAACGCTTTCCTCATAGAGAAAACACAAGGCCTCAAAGCCTCGATTTTACCCCCCTTTGTAATGACCATGGGCAAGACAGGTAACTTCTGGGCCTTAGGTTCGGAACGGCTTCTCTGTTCCAGCACCTCACCCCATTTCTGTCTTACACACGTGGCTCAGGTGTTTCCCACTGGCTCCTTGAGGGTGCCTGCCTCCCGGAGGCTCCTTCCAGGGTATGAGGGCTGTGGCCCTGACCCATTTTCCAAGAAAGAATGCCCGCGCGCACTCCACTGCTCTATGCACCACTCTTTATTGCTGCTGGGCCAGGCACCAGGTGCAGCCCAGCCCGAGAAGGGGAGAACCTGCCGAGCTCCCTACTCTGCATCCCTCGAGTTGGAGCTGAACCTTCAGGCCCGTGCCAGGCCCAGCCTCCTAGGCCCTGACAAGGGCGCAGAGTCCACAGGGAGGGCTGGGGCGCAGGCAGGCAGCGCACGACCCGGGGCGCAGGCCTAGCCTGGTGAGTCGCTGGTCGTGGGCTCCTGGCAGAACTCATCCATGATCTCGAGGAAGCGGCCGAACTTGGGGGACCCCGCGCTCAGCGCTGGGTGGGGTTGGGGCGGGGTCGACCCGAACACTGTCCTCAGGGAGCCGCGCACCAGCTGCCGGTAGCGCGCGCGGAACTCCTTGAGCAGCCTCTTGGCCTCCAGGTACTGCTTCTGAGTCACGAGCCGCTGCTCCCTGCGCCGACGCAGCACCGCACCTGCAGGAGGACCAGCGCGGGGCGCCGCAGAGCTCGCCCGGTTCCCACCCAGACACTCCCGGAGACCGAGACCCGCCACTCTGCTGGCGGCCGCAAGCCCAAGGCATCTGCTCCAGCTGTGGTGCGGATCCCAACAGGCCTTGGGACTTGGGGCAACCTCCCTCCCGCCGGGGCCAGGCCCCCTGATCTCATGGGCACCCAGACAGGGCGAGGACCGCGGGGGCCGGAGGCCAAGCCGTACCTAGTGGTGCCTCCGTCACGTTGCGCGGGTCCCGCATGCGAATGAGGATGTTGTCCAGCACCTGCGCGCGGGTCTTCTGCGGGGGTGGGACCGGGACCCTCGCGGCCTGGGGAAGGAGGGGGTTAGGGCCAGGCCCCTTGCAGACCCTCTGAGCCTCACTTCACACAGTTTAGCAGCAGGAAGAGGGATGCCTGGGGAAATCAGGCCTGGAGGGTTCCACGGAGACAGCCCCATCCCAAACCGCAGGGTCCTCGGGAGTCTCCGCGGCTGGGTGCTTACCCGCTTCCGCTTGGGGATGTAGGGTTTCTGAATAGAGTCCAGCTTGGGCTTAGAAGAGCGACAGAGAAGCGGGTATTTGAGCATGCGCTGCAGGGCCTGGGCGTTCTTCTGGATGCCTGGGGGGAAAGAACAAGGGCATGCGCTGTTTCTGCACTCCCCAGCCTCCAAGTGCAACCTCCGCAATTAGACAGGGTAATCCTCAACAAGAAAGCACCGCTCCTGGAGCTCCCTAACCTTCCAGAGCCTAAAGTTCATCACACGTCCCCTGTGAGCACAGGTCCTAACGGAAGCATAGTATTGGCTTTTTGGAGTAAAGGCTGGTTGCCATGTGACCAAGACCCCCCCTCCCCGCCCCTAGAAGAGCCCAGCTGAGCATAGGAAATAAGGAAGGAGGGGCTCTGAGAAGGAGATGCCTTCCTTGCCTCAAGCCAGATAAGGAAGGTTGTGAATGTGCAATTTGGAGCTTAGCTGTGTTGGGAACTACCTTTCCCTGGCTTCTCCAGCCAGACAAGCTGAGCAAGCCCCGGGCCCCCAAGGCCAGTGGGGAACTAGAAATGGATAAGGATCCCAACATGCAGGGCTTCAAGCCAGGACAGGGTAAGGAGACCTCTGATGACATTTAGACAGAAGTCAGCATCCTGGCTGGCAAAGGCTGCTAGGCACCACTTTGACTTGGCCATGACCTTATCTGTGAAGACATACCCTTGGGCTCCACGAAGGTTGGATCAGGCTTGGCAGTCAGCAGTTCCTCATAGCCCGCATACTTGCTTGTGGTAGCAGATGGGAGCTTCCGTCTAGTCCTCTTCACCTCTCTGGGTGCTGTGAGTGGTCTCTTTTGGTGCTTCTCCTTCAAATCACCTTTCTGGGTACTAGGGCCAGGCAGGTCATTCACCTGTGCAGGGAAGAAAACACACGGCTCATTCCCTGCCCACTTTCAAGAATCAGCTCTGCACTGGTCTCCATGCTAGGCTTTGTTAAGGGCAAGATGGAGACTGGGACTGAGGAAGCAGATAGGAAACAAGGTAAGGACCAAACACTTCCATGAATGCCTTACCAGAGGAGGCAAGTGGTTTGGGTTGATTGCAGAGGAAAACCAATCCCACCAGGAAGTTTTCTTAGCCTGAGCCAAGTCTGAAGGAGCCAGGAGAACTATCCATAAGCAAGGTGGGGAGAAGGACTGCAAGTCTGAGAAAAGGGAACTAGCAGGTAAGGAACCGAATGTGCAAAGGTAGAGAGGCCAGACACATCAAAGTGCAATGTAGGGCAACTAAAGATTGATGCAGCTGGAGAGCCAAGTAGTCACAGGTGACAATCAGAGCCCAGATAAGTAAGGGCCTTTAAATGCCAAATTGAGGGTATCTTTTTTGTCTATGTTTTCTTTATCTGATGGCAAACTATGGAGGATTTTAGCCTACCTAAATGTTTTGTTTTTCCTTGTATGCCAGTATTCAGGCTTGAACTCACACCTTTAAGCTTTTGATTGGCTTTTTCACTCAAGGTTAGTGCTCTACTACTTGAGCCATATCTCCACTTCTGGTTGTTTTTGTTTTGTTGGTTAACTGGAGAAAGAGTCTCACAGATTTGTCTGCTGGGGCAGACAAAGTTTCAAACTGAGACCCTCAGATCTCAACCTCCTGAGAAACTACAATTCCAGATGTGGGCCACTAGCACCCAGTTCTGCATTGTCTAGAAAGGTTCTAAACCAGCTCACAGAGGTACTTTTATGCCCTATGAATTTATCTTCTCTATGTGGACTGAAAGAAATGAGTAGAGAATTAGACATAATGTATGGATGGTGTACCTCTTGAAGAGATCTGGTCATGGGCAGCCTGAAGGGGGAGACTGGATGCGGGAGATCAATACAATAAACATGCTCAAGTAGAGTCTGTCAAATCTTTGACCCTTGTGTGGGTTTGAAACATTTTACATTCTGGAATATTTGCGCATGCCCACACACATATGTGGGGTACCTCAGGGATGAGACCCAATCCTGAATCTGTTTCTATTGTATGTATATATATTATATATATATATATACACACACACACTTGGAAGGAAATCTTATATAATATTTTACATAATTTTATGCATGAAACAAAGTTTTATGGTGTGGAGTTTTCCACTTGTGGTCATGGTGGTACTTGGAAAAATTTCAGATTTTGAAGCATTTTGGATTTCAGACTCTCAGACTAGGGATGTTCAACCTGTATTCTCTTTCCCAATATGTCACCCGTCTATAGCATCTTCCTTTATACTACCCTGATTCATGTGGTGCTCTCTGCCAGAAAGCCCTTGCTGCCCAAGTCTCCACCTTGCTAGCTCCAACTCTGCCTACAAAACTCAGCTCATCTGGTGTGGGGCAGAGATGTCCCACCTTCCTCCAGGTCTGCTTCAGGCTCAGCTTTCCCAGTAGACTGTAGGTGCTCCGAGGGCAGGCCCCGCCCCTGAGCATCCTTACTCCTGGTATCCAGGGGCAGCATGAGAGGTGAGGTGACTTGACACAGGGAGGCAGAGACAGCGCCCCACCCCAGACAGACCCCAGACGCTGCCTGTGCCCTTTGGTGACTCCGTAATCTCACATGTCTGGAGCTCGCAGGGTGGGCACACAAGCCCTGCCGACGGGGCTGCCCTTGGGTCTCCAGACTTGTCCTGTGCTTGCTATGGGTTCTGCAGACAATGGGTGGGCAAATGGAGTTTAGGCACCTGGGTCAGGAAGATGGACTCCGTGTTCTTGATGTCCTCATCCGACAGGTGTTCGGGACTGACTCGGCCAGCTGTGTCACTTGGGCAGGATGCACTCTCTTCACTCTGCAGGGTGGAGTCAGAGCAGATGGGGGGCAGCGGCACGAAGGTCCTGCGGGATAGGGAGAGGCCTTCCAGGCCTTCGGCAGGCAGGTGTATGTCCTGAGTGACACTCCTGGCACAGGGAAGCTCCTCCTCCGGCTCTGCCTCTGGGTCTGTCACATCCCGCAAGGGCGACTCAGCTGTAACCATGTATAGCTGCTGGGGTTGCTTCGGCACCTTGGGGATCTGGCTTTTCACCTGTTGTGGGAGAAAGGCTGGGGTGGATCAGGAGTCATTCCTACACTTCACCAACCTGAGAATGCTGGATATGAAAACTGAGGCAGGGAAGCAAATCACACAACTGTGTATCTGTTTATCCTAAGCATAACTGTTTTAGTTACCCCTCAGAATTACCAGGGAACAATTACTACTACTGCTACTACTACTACTACTACCACTATTATTATTGATAGTACTAGACTTTGAATTTGCTAGACGGGTGTTCTAATATTGAGCCATGACTTCAGCCCTCGTTTGTACCAATTATTTGAGATAGATTCTCATTTTCTGACTGGGTTAGTGCCTGAATCGCCATCCTCCTATTTTACATTTCCCATCAAATCTGAGTTGACAGGCATGTGTCATCATAGCCATCAAAATGGAGTCCCATGAACTTTTTTGTCCAAGTTGGCCCTGAACTTCAATCTCCTGATCTCAGCCCATCAAAGTAGCTAGAATTACTAGTGTGAGCTAGCGTGCTTGGCTCAATCACCCTCATTTTATAGTAAGGAAACTGGGGCTCAGAGAGGTACACAGACCAAGGAAGGCCCCATTTGCAAGGCCTGGCCTTTCTGACTCCAACTTGGACTGTAGGCCTCATCCCTAGGCTGCATCATCCCTGACCATATTGCTCTGCCCTAAGGGGCTGATGAAGGTTTACCACAGTGATCTTGACCTTCCTCTAGGACTCTGAGGGCCACTATTAGGGTATATGTATACCAGCATATAAAGTACATGTGCATATCAAATCTCAAATGCCAAATCTCCCTTAGGATTTGGACAAAAGGAAAACTTCCTTCCTGTTGAATGGCTCAATTTCCTTAACTAGAAAAAGCCTAACTATTCTCTCTTCCTTCACCTCCACTGTCAGGAGGCTACCTGGGCTGTGATCCCTCCAAGTCTCTTAGCCTGGTATGACAGCTATGTGCTTACCTATGGACTAAGTAGAGGTCTCTCAAGAGACCTCTGGCTTGCTGGCTTTGAACTGCAATCCTCCTGTTCTCCTAATTAGTTAGGATTACAGCTGTGAGCTACCAGCACCTGACTAGAGATAGAAACTCTTATTTAAGGTCAGGCAGCTATGGAAAGTGTCAGAGCAAGTCTCTCCCTAAGTTTTCCAACCTCAAGACTTATTTTTCCTTTCTGGTGGGCCTTAGTGTCTCTGTAAAATCAGGGGATCCCTGACTCACTGATATCTAAGGCACCTCCTTTTGTTTTGGGGCCTCTCTGGCTGTCAGGCCCTTTCCATTTCAATCTGTATTTTACGGTCAGGAAAGGACACTGTCTGTTGTGGAGAGGGAAGGTAAGAGGGAGCCTCTCTGCTCAGGCTTGGGTGTGTGCATTCATTCATATAGTCTCTGGGGCTCTGGAACACTCACCTTTCGTGATTCCTTCCGAGGCATCAAAATATGATGCTTAGCTTTTATTAACTTCCTTCGAATTAAGTGGATTCCCAGTCGCTCCTGGAGGAAGCTCTTTAACAGTGGTGGGATCCCTGGTTCCATGAGGGGAAAACAGGATGTTAGCTCACAGTGACCAGGGCTTCCTATGTGCTAAAAGCATTATTCAAATTGCTAATACAGCTTAATTTTCTCATCAACTCCAGGAAGAAGGTACCATATAGTTCTCATTCAATATACAAGCAAATAGAGGCCCAGAGAGGTTAAAGAATTTGCCTGAGGTGGGGGTGGGGGTGGGGGTGGGGGTGGGGGAGGATTAGACTCCCTGGAACTGATGCAGACCCAGGACACTCATCTGCCCAGCTGCTGCCTCTGAGACAGCAGCCTCCAGCACTGGACAGTGCCCTGTATTCAGCCTGCTCTGGCAGGGAGGGTCCTACCATTTGGGAAGTAGGAAATGAAACCACACCAGATCTGCTCTACAAAGCAAGGTGTAGCTCAAAGAGTGCATGCAAGCTCTAGAAAATTCCATTTTCCACTCTTTCTTGCTGTGTGACCCTGACAGATCACAAGCCTCCCTGAGCTTCAGTTCCCATCAAAGTCCACAGGAGACAACGAATGCAAGCAGGATGAACATTATGGAGGGGGTACTCAGCAGTGTCTGCTGTTTCTCCTTTCCCAGTGCCTCATCGATCTCGCCCACCCCAGCCCCAAACAGAGCCCAGGCCTGGTATCCAGGCGTTGGGAATGGTGCCCACACTGCTCCTGTACACTGGGCTGGAGGGGAAGGTTGTGAGCATCATACCTCGTGTGTGGGACACCAGAGGGTTGTTATGAAGAATGAGCTCGCAGAGAGAGGGGAAGAGAGCCACTGGTAGGACGGCATCCTCCTTTGAGATCTGTAACAAAGGCAAGGCAGATATGAGGTCGATGGCACCCATTACCTCTACCAGGGTACATCAGGCTCCCATTGCTCACTGGAGAAGAGGTGGGCAGTGCCTTCTCCTGTGCTACCTGCTCATGCCCAGGCTACTTTGCCCACTGTCTTTACAACTCCATCTGCATGGTTCCATGTCTGATACCTGAGAGTCACCCTCCCTCCTCCACACTGGATATGTAGCTCTTATCAAGTATCAGTGAGATTGCTGAGACCGTAAGAATGAGCACACAGAGCATGTGAGTGGGCAAGGAGGCTGCAGGTTGTCCAGGCACTGACTCTGACTTTAGAGTTAGTAGCTAACATGTCACCTTCCTCCAGGCAAACCTCCACACACCCCAGCAGCAAATCATCCACTCCTGAGGGCTTCCTTCTGTAAGCACTGTGCCCAACTTGGGTCTTCAGCTCCACCCAAACCTGAGCTCCTCCAAGTCCTGGAGTTCCCAACCTACAGCTAGCTACTTCCTCTCTCCACCCAGACCCACCTGAGCTCCCACTACCTCACTTCCTACCCCCAGACCCTCCTGCTACCTGGATAGTGAAGGGTGCCACATGCTCCCTCTTGGGGAAAATATGGCTCCTCTAATAAACCTTATAATAATCTTTCTCTTGTGCCTGCCTGCTTCTGCATGGTCCCCTGGGATGGATGTGAAGGATCCCTTTACATTCCTAAGGTCAGCATTAGATAGCATGTGTCTAATGAGGCAGGAGTTCAGGAACTCAACCATGGGGGGATGAGCAGGGCCAGCTGTAAGGGGCACCTCACGGCCAAGAGACTGCTCTATCCCATATGAAGCTGGCTAGTAAGTGATGGACTGTTGACCAAGCCAGCCTCTGGTACGTAAACAATACATTCCTTCGTGAGTCACTGGAACACACAGGACCATGTTGCAGCTGGGTTGGGTACAGGACCTAAAGATGGCACCAGAGAAGTGCATGAAGCAGGAGATGGGACAGGGGGAGGAGAGATGACCTAGGAAGAGAGGGAAGAGATAGGTGGCTGAGATTGAAGAAGGTAGGAGGTAATGAGTAACTGCAGTGGGGGACAGAGTGTGTGATGGAGGCATTTCCACCCCAGCATGGACAGGCAGCTCAGTGTAGTCACGTGACTCGGCTGTAGCCAGTAGAATGTGAGCATAAGTGATCAATGCTCCTTCCAACACTGTGCCCACATGCCCATGTGGAGGCCTTCTGCCAACCAGGAATATCCACAATAAAACACGAAATAAAACAAGAAATAAAAACAAGAAATAAACTTTTCTTGTGCTAAGTGACTAAGATGCTTGAGTTTGCTGCAGCAGTATTACTCTAGTATTACTCTAACTAGTGCAATGAGAGCTGCATACCTGTTAGAGGAATTAAAGAAGGTTAGGGTGATTAAGCACAGAGAGGAAGCATGGAGGACTATGAAATGAAGCTGGAGATGCATGGCAGAGCCACACTAATGCTAAAGAGTGTAGCACTGGGAAGCCAGCAGAGATTGGACAAGATTTTGGTGATGGATTTATGTACAGAAGAGGAGATGGGACTTAAAGGAGTATCCTGGATGGCCACAAGATTCCAGCTTGAGTAAGTAGGTAAATGATGGAGCCAGTCACTAAGATGGAAGACAATGGAAGGACATAAAATTTAGAGGAGGATCAACTCATCTTGGAGGCCCCTTTGAGACCTCCATGAAGGCAGTTGGACACTGGTCTGGAATATAGAAGAGAGCCCGTATTTAAGAGCCACTTTTCATGGGACAGTGAATATTTGAAGTTGTACCTGAGGAGGGAGGAGAAAGGGGTGGGAGGGAGAGAAGAAGAGAGAGAGAGAGGAGAGAGAGAGAGAGAGAGAAAGAGAGATAGGGGGGAGAGATTAGGAGAGGGGGGCTGGAGGGGATTTAATACTAGATCTTCTAGAGCACAGGTTGGCAAGTAAGGATAGAAAACCTTGCTAACCCAGGCATGGTATCTGGGGGTAGGGAAAAAATACTACCACACTACTGGGTAGGGGCAGGAAACCCACTTTATCTGGTAGAGTGGAGGTCTTTTTTTTTTTTTTTTTTGCCTGAACTCTAGGCCTGAGTACTGTCCCTCAGCTCTTCAGCTCAAGGCTAGTGCTCTACCACTTGAGCCACAGCACCACTTCTGGCCTTTTCTGGTTATGTGGTGCTGAGGAATCGAACCCAGGGCCTCATGCATGCAAGACAAGCACTCTACCACTAAGCCATCTTCCCAGCCCCCAGTGGAGGTCTTTTGAGCAAAGAAATTCCAGAGAATCTAGACCCATCAGGGCTGCCAAAAACTGGGGCTAGAACCTACTCTAGTCCCTATTCCAGGTTGGCAAGCACCAAGCATGCAATTATAACAGCCTACTGCAGGCTGGGAAGAAAAGTGGAGTTAGACCCCGAGCTGCGGACACAAGGATAGAGCCCTGGGAGCCTAGCAAGGGCCAGGTCTCTTGCTGAAAGGATTGTGCTTTCAATACGGGTATCAGCAGGCTGCCAGCCCAGGGGTAGAGATCTATGCAAATAGTAAGTGTGAGAAAGCTGTGTAGCTATATTAAAATTAGACAACAATAACAACAAAAAGACATTAATGCAAGGACGACTGTTAACAGGCCAAGGGAGTAATTTGTAATAAAGAAGGGTTTATACAATTGGTTAATATAACAATTCTAAATGTATATGCACTGGGTAACTGGCTTCATATTACCTAGTACAAAAACTGATAGAACTGCTGGATGCCAGTAGCTCACGCCTGTAATCCTAGCTACTTAGAAGGCTGAGATCTGAGGATCATGCTTCAAAGGCAACCTGGGCAGAGAAGTCCATGAAACTCTTCAATTAACTACAAAAATCCAGAAATGGGGCTGTGGCTCAAGTGGTAGAACATTAGCTTTGAGCATAAAAGCTCAGAGACAGTGCCCAGGCCCAGAGTTCAAGCTCTAGGATCAGAAAAACACACACACACACACAAAAAAAAAACAAGCAAAAAATCTGACAGAACGAAAGGGAGAAATGAAACAAATCACAAGGAACAGAGATTTCAACACACCATGCCCGGCAACAGACAGAGAGGAGTACACACAGGATCAACCTCCTTAAATGATATTTAAAACCTCCCCACACCCCCACCACACTGCAGAATACACTTTTTTCCTCAGTGTATGTGGAATATCCACCAAAATAGGTCACATCAGAGATTATAGAACAAGTTTTAACACATATGGAAAGAGAGAAATTATAGATTATACTATACATAAGGGAAGTAGTTAAAAATTAATAGATCCAAGAAAAGCCCCATAGATTTGGAAACTAAACAACCCATGGATCAAAGACAAACATGATAGGAAAAATTTAAAAATATCTTAATTGGAGGAAGACAGAAATATAGAGGCTAGAACTTAGGTCAATGGAAGAATATGTGCTTGGTATACTTGATGCTCTGGGTTTGCTCCCCAGCACCCAAAAATAAATGAGAGTTTATAGAACATCAGAGAGGACAGGAATATTGGATAAACATGGAGAAATATGAAATCTGTCCACGGACATTATATCTGCTTTTGCTTTCCTTGTTACTTGTCTAGGTTCATTGATTCAGATCTTAACCTAAACACTTTACCTTGAGAACTTTCTCAGATTCCAAGTGTTAGATTAGACTGCCCACATTGTACTTACATCATAGCACAGGCACATCTACTTTGTGGTTGTCCAGTATCTGTCTTCCCTACAGCTTCACAAAGACAGAGGCCAAGTCTTTTTTTCCAGCTGTGTGCCCAATGCCTAGCACTAAGCTGGGCACACACTAAGTACCAAATAAATATCTGCCCTTCCCTGAGAATTCCTGGGCCCACAAACCTATAACACAGGGAACTAAAAGGCTGGGCTCAGGCCAGAATTGCTTACATCCCACCACCCATCTGTGCCCCTGAGCAAGCAGGTAGAGAGGCAGAGAGTCACCTTATTGTAGGCCAGGCTAAGGTACCTCAGCTCTGGGAAGGGTGGGGCCAACGTCTGGTTCCTGACCTTCAGTGACTTCACAGGAAGTATCTCGAATATGGGAGGGAACAAACATACCTTGGTTGTCTTAGAAGGAAAAAAAAAGTTAAAAGTCAAGGTGTCCTAATAATAAAGGAGATGAAGCTGGTGATGACTAAGACCCTTCCTATGGAGTGTACTGTCATGAGCTTTGTGCCTGGGCAAAGAGATGCATGTAGGGCTCAGAATTCTGATTCCAAGTTCTCTGAGGTCACATAGTGATCTGATTTTCTAGCACCGAAAGTTCCAGTTTCAAGTTCTCTGAGCCAGGGGTCACGGTGGCACTGAGGTGGGAATCAGAGGTACTCTGCCTCACCTCTGTTCCCACAGCAGCTTGGCCCTTCTACAGACATGGACAAAAATCTCTCCAGAAGGCAAAGGGAAGTACTTGCATTGGTAATGGGCCAGCACAGTGAAGATTATTTGTTCTAGGATGAACCCATAGCTAAGTCTGAATGATGTGAGCCAGGCCTTGGGGCCTGAATGTGGTAAGGTCCATATGGGTCACTTGCAGGGTCATGGTCTCTCTGTTCAATTCTGCCTCAGGGTCAATGTGTTTAATCAGGCACAAAATGGAAATACCATGGACCACATCTAACGTAATTTCACTTATTGCTTCCTTGAGAGCCATATGACTGGAGGGTATTACAAGGGTAGAAGTGGGGTTCATGGTTAAGATAAACTAAATGCTCTGAGCTCCATTAACAACTATGTAATCATGAGCAAATTATTCAATTTCCATGTGTTCATTCAATGAATATCTGTGGGATAGATACTTTGGGCCAAGTATTTTGTGTCCTCCTAGGCCAACTTGTAAAGCCTCATCCATGGGACAGGTCAGTCATGGGTGAGAGTAAAACAAAAGCTAATATGACTTCCCTTTCCAGGTGACCCCAACACAATCTGAGAAGGCGGACTGTGGCAGTCTGATGTGGCATCTCCCTTTGCCATGCGACTCCCTGAAACGGGCCCTAAAGGCTGATTTGGCTGAACACACAAGACATTTCACTTGGGCCCGAATCTGTCCTCTTTGCTACCTTAAACTTTGGGTCAGAGTACTGTTGAACTCTCACACAGACATGTTAATCATTTGAGTAGTAGCTGCCTAAAATCTAGTAATACAAGGTTGATTAGCTCTAAATTTATCTAACCTCTCCTTTTTCCCTTCAAGGCTGAAGACACCCAGGTAAGAGGAAGGTATTCTCAAGATTCCAAGAAGTGAGTCTTCTAGGCAGACATCCCTGGTAAGGAATTGAGGCTGTCCCCACCAAGTGGAAGCAGCCATTTTATCATTTCATGTCATCATTTCCTTCATAAGCCATAATTGAAAATCAGCTGGACTCTCAGAACCAGAGTTGGGATAATGGTCAACCAAACCAGAGGACTGACTGTGTATGTACACTTCTCTCTACCCCCTCTCCTTCACCTAGTCTGATGCTTTATCCTTCCCTTATGTAATCCTGAAGCTCTTATCAGTACTTCCAAAGACAAGGGTTAAGACCAGTGTTCCTCTGTTTTTGGTTTTTGTTTTTCTAGTGTAGCTACTCTCAGTAATACAGTTCTTTCTTGCCCTATCTTGAAGTGGTGGATGACAAATCTGGTAGGAAGGTCTCTGGCCTAGGACTCTGGGACTCACTCCTATTTGGATTAGGTGAGCTGAAGGGAACACAGTGGAACACAGAATAGGAGAAACCAGAGATTCAGGCTGAGTATACTAAACTTAGGGCATGACTGGCTCTGCTGAGGAGCACAGAGGACCCTATATTAGAGGGACAAACATCTGACTTTTAGGGTCCACTGGAAGTCTCAATCATCCAATGTTTTCTCTAGATTTTCAAATGCTAGACAACTAGGATTTGAACATGGAACAGTCCTAGGAATTACCTTGATTCTTATGGTACACAGTCCTGCTCATGTACAGGTCTTTTTGCAGGGTCACCCTGCAAAAAGGGGTGGGGCAGAAGAATCTATGTTTCTACTCCCTTGAAATCTGACTGGCTGTTGTATAATATAGAATTTGTCTGGTCTTAGTCCCAAGTTCCTAGTACCCAGTTTCTAACTAAAACTTTTCCAAAAGTCCTGGAATTTCCTGAGTTGTCTTTACTATTCAGGGTTCTTAATTATGCCTGAGGTTTTGCTAATGAGATGAGGATGGGGGCTAGCCAGATGATTACAGGGTTGGACCTTTGACCAAGCTGACCTCTGGGAAGGAAAGTAGGGTAGAGATGGAGTTCAAGCATGGAGCCAAAGATTCTCCAAGAAAGGCTCTGAAGGTGACCTTCCTAGCTGGGAAGCATACTTGCTGGGCGAGTATGCAATGCCCCTGACTCCTTGGGGGCATGGGTCCCTTCCAGATCTCACCTTATGGGCTTTTCAGGCAGCTGGTCCTTATCTGGATGAAAAGACCACAGAGACAGAGACAGAGAAGCCCAGCTATGGCAACTGTTCATTTTAGCCTAGCTCCTAGCTAACCTATCAGCAGACTGCAGTTGCAGGGTATGCTGGGGTGAAACCAGCAGAACTGCATTGCTAGCTCCAATAACAGTAACAAGTAAGAATTGCTACTGTCTGAAGTTGGCAACGGAGTTTGCTCTGAAGCAATTGTTAAGTGTTATCATCCCTCTATTCCTCATACAGGTATATCTGTGAGGAGTCAAGGTACTGAGCTGTTTCCCGAAGATACAGGTTGACCAAATGTATAGTTGTACTTCTTATTATCAATGAATATGTTGACATTTAGTTAGGTGCATTAATCACCAGATCCCAAGGCAAAAACCAATTTCTTGTGCTGACAACAATCAAGTGTCTAAGCCCTTGACACCAAGGGTTAGATTCTAGGTACTGGTATATCTAGCAAGAGCTTTTCAGCTTTGTGGGGCATGGGGAGAGACCTTGAGCCACAACCCCAAGGCAGGTCCCTTCAGTTAGGTCTATAACTAACAGTTCTGAGGGCACTGAGAGCTAGACTATAGGTGGAGGACGGTAGGGCCCCAACAGGGCCCTCCATCACCAGTGTCTGGTGCATACTGTGTGCCCAGCAACCATCTGCTCCAATAGATGGGCTTTCTTGGCATGATCTATAGAAATGTCTTTTATATCCCTTGTCATTTATTTGTTTTTGTCTATTAAAATTAATGTTCTTGGGCTAGGGAATGTTGCTCAGAGGTAGAGCACTTGCCTAGCATGTGTGAAGCCCAGGAATGCAAATGAATGAATGAATGAAAACAAACTGATGTTTCAACTCAACTATACAAGTGAGAAACAGGCAGTTCCTACCTCTGAGGTTGAGAATCCAGGGTAAGATGAGAAGATGACCTCTGAAACAAAGGGAAACAGACAAGGTTCGTGAATGCTTGAACTGACCCCCAGAGAGGCATGGTCTGGGTCTGCCCCCCACTCTGTACAGCAAGGCTTCCCAGACTGGTTCCAATCATAACTGGTAAAGAAGCAGCAGTGACAGCCATCAGGTAACAATGCCCTTTGCACACAGGATGAAGTCCAAATTCCTTGGCCCGACCCCTGAGGTCCCATGTGGTCAGGCCTCTGCTGACTCCTCCAATTTCATCTCATATTCAGGACCCTCTCCCTGACTCTATTTCAGTGCACAGACTTTCTTCTTGACTTTGCAACATGCAAAGCTTCACTAGAGAGTCTGTACTGAATAGAAAGTGAAGCAGCTTTCTTAGAAGAGAGAAATGTGCATCGGGGTATTCTGTGAGATGACTGAAAATACTCTTTGTCCTATTAGTGGAAGAGAATGTGTTGTCACAGAATTCAGCAGCACAGTCCTAAGGAGGAAGCTGCAGAATGAGTTCATTCTTGGGATCATAAGACAGATTATCCACCAAACAGCTGAACTCATCCCAAGAAAGGGACTCGATCCTGTTACCCTGGGGAATGAGGCCCCTTCCCCATATTAGTAGTAGTGAGACTGATCAAGTGAAAATAAACAATAAGTTTATTTAAAAGTAAGTTATTCTAGATGTGGATCTGCAAGGAATTTAGGAAAGGTCTGAGCCACAAACAAAGTCACAATTTGTCAGGGGATGGGCTATGTTTCAACTGTGGGTGTTGAGCAGTGATCCCCTGGATAAAGAGCTTAAGAAAGGAAAATAGATCTTTTTCTTCTTTACTTCCCTCCCTCCTCAGGGCCTCCCCTTCCCTTTCCTTCTCCTTCCTTCTTTCCCTCCGTTCTCCTAACTTCTTCCCTTCTCTTCTTCCCTCCCTCCCTTTCTTCTTTTTTTTTTTTTTGGCATGTCTTAAAAGAAATCCTACTAGAAAGTATTTCTAAGAATCTGGACTCATGAACAGCAAGGTGAAATTGGTATTATGGGTTGAGAGTTATTTTTTAACACCTCAAATTTATATGAAAACCTAACCCCAGGATCTCAGAAATATGATAAGAATAAACCATGATAAGGAAAGGTCTTCAAAACGGTGCTGAATAATGTTATGTAACAGAATGGGTTCAATAGTATATATCTACTATGTAATTAAAACATATTACATTCAAAATAATCTATACCCTACAAAGACAGATACTTGGATCAAAAAACAGTACCAGAACATATATTTATTTGCAAATGAGAAATGAGAATAGCAAAATAGAAGAATAAAGGAGGACAAGAATAACCTTGTGTGGTACAATCCCTACCCTATTCAATCAGGTTGTTCAATCAGGTTGTGCTGTGAACTCCACTCTTTTCTAAGTTACACATGGGCACATGAGACAGAATCGAAGAAGGAGAAAGAATTTTTGAGGTACAAATGGATTATTTTGTACCAGTAAACAATATATAAAACATATCAGAAACACAAGACACACATAAACTTACCAGTTATACCAGACATAACCCCTCATCTGGGAGTATAAAAGGAGGAGAGCAGAGATAAAAGAAGATACCAAGGTGGCATGCCTGTCTACCCCACCATATGGTTACCAGCTGTAAGCTATGTCCAGGAAATGGCTGAAGCAAGGACCTCTGCCTCTGTCCTCTGGCTCCAACGTAAGCAGTTTCCTTGTCTGTGACATACAAGCCACTTCAAACCAGCCAGCTGCCCAGACCTACATGTGACAACTCTGTGATCTGTTCTAAGCCACATTTTTAAAAATTAGCACCAGTAAGTTGTAGAAGGGGATTTCGTTGTGGCATATCTGTACAGGCACTGTGATGAGACTCACCCCTCCACCACTCTCTCACACCTACTCCCCCCTGAGGAGGAAGGTCTGACACATCAGCAGTTGTAGAGAGAAAGAAATGAAGCCAGCAGTACAGTATCTTAGTCTGAAGATTGATGAATAACTTATAAAAAATCAAAATTGATCCAAATTGTTATTAGGATTTATATCTATTAGTAAGATGGAGAGAATAAATGCCCACTAAATTTTCTTTAAGGGCTGGGGATGTGGCTCAAGGGGTAGAATGCTTTGCCTAGCAAAGCCTCAAGTTCAAAACCCAGTACACCTTTTCCTCCAACCTTTTTCCTTCTTATTAAAGGGAAGGTTTGCATTTAGTTGATTTCGCTATTGACAAAGTTTTGCAATGCGGATAGAATTTTAGAATAAAATTAGGATAATCATTTGGAAATATAGAAATGAACTGGATGTCAGTGTCTCAGGCCTGTGATCATAGCTATTAAGGAGTCTGAGACCTGAGGATTGTGTTTGAAGCTGGGCAGGAAAGTCCATGAGACTCTTACTTCAAATTAACCAGCAGAAGCTGGAAATGGCGGTATGGCTAAAGAACTAGAGCCCCAGCCTTGAGTGAAAAGTAAAATGAGAGCTCAAGGCCTTATGGTCAAGCCCCAGTTCCAGAGCACGTGTACGCATATGCATGCATACACAGGTGCACACAGACACACGGACACATACACACAGATTGCAAACCTAATAATAGAATGGAACCAACTTAATAGTAAGATGCCAGAAATAAAACTAGATAGTGACAAATCCTCAAGAGCAGTGAGAGACTCAATGTAACTATTTCCCAAATTAACTAAGTAGAAAAATTTTATGGGGAAAACCTGAACCACATAATTGTGACAGTTTTTTCGGTGTCTTTATCTCAAACCCACCCTTCTCTATATCTTTTTCTCTAGCCTGCTTTGGAGTGTGGGAGCTGAGGCTCTGAAGAATACTTCTACAGCTGGTTTCCTGTTCGATTCTGACAACGACTGAGAGAAGACTGGGGAAGAGGAGAAGGGGGCCACTTAATCTCATCTGCTTCCCATGGTTTCCTGCCTGCTTGTGATTTCTACGACTGCCAACGGAATCATGCTGCTTTATCCTAGCAACAACTGAATCAAGTTGGTAAATTTCCCACTTGCAAGACACAGCCTGATGCTGGCCAGTGTCCCCTCCTAAAAAGTCTGGGTCTCTACCACCCCAGGCTGTCTGAGCTCACAAGTCCCAGCAGTTAAGCAGGCCCTGAGGTCTAAGTTTTAGGGCAACTCTATGGTCCAAGGGGATTCCCTTCTTCAGCGTCTAATTTTTTCACATTCCAACCACTTCCTATAAAAGAAAACTTGAGCCAGGTATCGGTGTCTCCTGCCTAAAACCCTATCTACTCAGGAGGCTGAGATCAGAGAAGGTAGACAAATCTGCAAGACTCTTTCTTCTAATTTTGGGGGGACGGGAGAGGGTCTGTCTCCTCTCACATGAGCCATGAGCGAAAATGCCAAGTGAGAGCTTGAGGCCCTGAGTTCAAGCCCAGTACTGACAAGCAGGAAAGAGATTGAGAGGGAGGGGTGGGAGGAAAGCGAAGTTGGAATGGTGGTAATTCTCTGAAAAGGTATTGATGGCAGGGGGTACTACTGAGACACTGGAAATGTTCTGCATTGTAACGTGAATTGTTGCTAAGAGGGCTCATGTGTAAAAATTCTGGTTCTGTGAGAGATTTCTGTATTTTAACCACTGTAAGTCATTTTCCTTAATGCAGAGTACATTTAAACAAACAGGAGGCAGAGGCACAATCATAGACAACTAGATCAGTAGAATAGTATCTAGTTCAAAAATACACTCCTCTGTTAAAGGGGTTTGGGTCTATGATTCAGGGTTTGTCTCTGAACACTGTCATGTGGATGTGAATCTTAGAGCAGTGGTGTTTGTCCACCCCAGTACCCTAAAAGGTCAGAAGCAAACAGGCTAGCAGTGGAGAGAAGAGGATGGAAAGGCCTGTGTCCCTTGAGGCCACTGGTGTGCCACAGAGCTAAACCATTTCTGGAAAGCCTTGCTTCTGAGTTTCTCATTATTTGAGATTTTTCAAAATGATTTGCTTTTATGTTGGATTTCAAAAGCATCTTAAGTATAAAAACCCCTGAGGAAGTAAGTCAGTGTAAGAGCAGCTAGCTAGTGGCTGGAACCAGGAGTATGGCTCACCTGTGCGGTCAACGTCCTTTTTCATGGGCAGAACAGTATAATCTGGTTGCTCATCCTGGGCCTCTGACTTCCACGACTTGGACTGTAGCACAGACTGGGACTCTTTCCTGGGACTTGCCCTGCCTCCAACCCATTCCCCAGACCCATCACGGAGCTGAACCTGCTGTAGGTACGGGATCCGGGAAATCTTGTTTTGGTCCAGGCTTAACTTCTTCAGTCTTCAATTAAGGAAAGTGAATACAGAATCACAGCAATAATGATACCTCAGCAATATTACCAAGCAACTTAGGAAACAACCGGAAAGCAGGCTTGGACATGTACTCCTTCCTCTGTGTGACCTTGAGTTAGTGACTTGACCTCAATGTGCCTGTTTCTAACTGGGCATGTTTATTCACCTTTCAAGGTCCTTGGGAAGATTGAATGAGATGTAATATTCAGTCAATGCTAGCTGAGTTCAAAAGAAACTTTTCAGGAGGCTAAAACTTAACTTTTTAAAGGCCAGTGTTTTCTTTCCTTTAACCAAATAAGTAGAACTCAGCAGTTAAACTTCTAATTTTGGGGGGACGGGAGAGGGTCTGTCTCCTCTCACATGAGCAAGCTGTCTTGGGGAATATCTCCTCTACCCTCTGTTCACTTTGCCACTTCCCAGCCAGTCATATGTTCAGAAATAGCCTTATTGGTGCCCTGATTTTTATATGAGCTAAAGCTCAGAAGGGAGAAATGACTTATCCAAGGCCACACAGCAGAAGTAAGTGACAGAGCCAGAACTTAACCAGGCCTTTTGGGTTGTTGAGTAACCCTTGGGATGTGAGCAAGGCTGGGAGTTGGGAAGGGCCCTGCTGAGGAAGGCTTGTGGCTTTACCTCCTGAGCCCTGCCAGGCTGGCAAAGCAGTTGGGGCTGGAGAGTTTGTTGTCATCCAGCATCAGTGTCTCCAGTGCTGGGAACCTCAGGATGTACCTCTTGCTTGTCATCGATGTTATGGATGCCTCCCTGTGAGAGCAGAGATCTTGGGTACCAAGCAAGGGCAGGGAACAAGCTCCAACATCCTCAAGATGACATGGAGGACAGAGAATCAACTGAGAGGACTAACCAGCTTGGGAACTTCTTCTGTGCCTCAGGGAAGTCCCTGTAGAGGTGGACATAAGATATAAATGCCTCTCCACCCAACACCTTCCCGAACACCATTGGTACACACAGGCTTCTCTATGGAGAATGTTCACACACACACCATTAGCTAGGCTGGGCAGGGTGGGCACTGGTGGTGCTCTGGACTAGACCAGAGTGAAAGAGACATGACCAAGTTAGGGGAGCATTCTGCAGGCAGAACAGAGCAGAGGAGCACTTGCTCTTGGCCTCAACCACAGCTTTGCTAAGGTCTCTGAGAATTCATGGAAACATCTGAGAGGGATTGAATAAGCCAAGTCCTGAATTCCATAGATGGGCAGGAAGTGGTGGTGCCCTAGTCTATGGTTCCTGTGACCTTGTAAATCCAGGTGGATAAGGCCTGGGTAACTAAATACCCACAGGCAGAGGACTCAAATCACTATTTCCTTCTTCTCTCCATATTTTGTTCTACTTACATACCAAGTGTCTGGAAGTACAGACACAGACAAATATTCACCTATGTAAGACACAAACACAGACACGACAGGAAAGGAAATGAACATTTACTCAGATCCTACTGCACTCCCAGCACTGTGTTAGGTGTTTTATTTCTTTACTATTATTATTTTGGGGGGGTGTAGGTTTGAACTCAGGGCTTTGATCTTGCTTGGCAGGTGCTCTACCACTTGAGCAACATCCAACCCTTTTTAGCTATGGTTTTCCAGTTAGGGGCTCACATTTTTTGCCAAGGCTAGTCTTGAACTATGCCTCCAGTACAGCTGGGATTACAGGGCATACCCCCCACCATACCCAGCTTTGTTTGTGGAAATGGAGTCTCATTAACTTTTTGCCACTATGCTCCTAATCTCTTGTCTACCTAGTAACAGATGTGCACCACCATGTCTAGCTGTGTTATGTATGTTTGTTTGTTTGTTTTTGGTCAGTCATGGGGCTTAAACTTAGGGTTTGGGTGCTGTCCCTGAGCTTTTTCACTCAAGGCTAGCACTCTACCACTTTGAGCCCCAGCTCCATTTCTGGTTTTTTAGTGGTTAATTAGAGATGTGAGTCTCATAAACTTTCCTTCCAGGGCTGGCTTTGAACTGCAACCCTCAGATCTCAGCCTCCTGAGTAGCTAGAATTTTACAGGCATGAGCCACCAGCACCCAGCTTTGTGTTAGGTATTTTATATGTGTTATTTTTATGTATTATTCATAGGGAGGGTAAGTATTACTTACCTACTTTTCAGATCAGGAAACTCAAGCTCTGAGCAACTTGCTGAAAGTCCCATAGCTAGAAAGAGGCAGAGCTCAACTAGAATTTAGTTCTGTCTGATACCCAAACCCATGCCCTTTGTATTCTGCTGACCACCTTTCCCATTTACATCTTCAAGTGACATGTGGGTTAAAGGGTGGGGAGGGAGAAGGGACAGCTGTTTTCTGGGCTAGGGACAGCTTGACAAAGGTAGACAGTAGAGGAACATATACCTTAGTCAAAAATATCTCTAGAGAGGGGATATAGTCATTCACCCATTCACATTTTTTAATCTCTTACACAGCCAGGTACGAGAACACAAAGAGACAAAGACTGTGGCTCTTCCCTAAAGATGCTTATAATCTCCTGAAAGAGACCAGCACAGTGCATACAGTGGGACAAAATGCTGAAACAAGCAACTGAGGGCTCAGGAAAGGTAATGCTTAGCCATCAACCCTGCCATGCTCTTAACTACTGTGAAAGAGAGAAGAATGGGGAGAAAGATCACCTCTTGGTGGCTGGGTCTGTCACAGAACTAGAAGCTCTGGGCAGCCATGTTTCCTACCAAAGACACTACTCATAGAGTCCAGCTGTTCAGAGACATGCAGTGAGTCACAGAGAGGAACAGATAGGAAGCTGGGAGACAGATGAGCTGAGTGGTCTACCATGTGTACTACCTACATTCTTCAACAAGGGCACTAAAGCATGGTTCTGAGGCATGGCTGTGTGATTCCTCTGTGTTCTGATAATGAATTCCCCTTTTTGCTTATTGCAAACTGGACAGATTTCTACTGATGATAACCATGATAATTTTGACTAAAAAAGGCACAGGGAAGATCTTGGTGGGGGGCACTGTGGCAGCAGTGTGGGGAATAGGCCTGAAGTTCAAAGATCCAAAGACATTGGATAGGGCAGAGCAGGGGGCCTTGGTATTTCAAAGTCATAGGGACTCTTTTCCCTTTCCTAGAAGGACCAACTTTCACACACTGAATTTTTCATCTCTACTTGAAGTTAAGAACAAAATGGTGTACAATAGCTCTGTTGACTTATAATTAGTTGGCCAATCTTTATTTTACTCCATGACATATAAGGCACTTGAAATAAGCCTTCCAAGAAAAAAAAAATCCTCTAACATGCCATCAAAGAGAAGCTGGTTCAGTCTTCTCTGTGACAAGTTACACTGCTTTGACTTTCTAAAGTTCTATCCTAATAATAGTAATAGAAATGTTCATTTAGTCTTAGAAATATAAATCCCCTTAAAAGAACAGCGGCAGCTGCAGAGCCTTTCTACTGCTCATGCTGGATGAGCACTTTAGTGACAGAGCTCTCCAAGGGTGAAGCTGGGATTTCAGCTGCTCAGAATGATTCCAGTTTTACTATCTTTTCTCTGGCCAAGTAAAGTTATCATCACTTAAAATCCTACCAATTTAGTGTACCAATTTAGTGTAGAAGCTTAGTATATGGCCAGTAGTTGGAGCCATCATGAGAATTCATATGTCCTATCATAAGATGCCTGAGAATGGGGTCCAGCAGCTCTGAGCTCTGGCTCCTGTGGGGTGGCTGCCTTGCTTGTTGTATGACTATGGCTGGTGTTGAGCATCTCTGGACCCAGATCATTTATCTATATAGTATTTGTGTGTGCACACAAACATATATATACATATATTATATATGCAATATATAAATGGGGATTTCTTTTGACTTACATTATAAGAACTTGAATTAGGACAGAATATTGGCCAAAGACTGAACTAAAATGCTGTGGCAAAGCAAACAAGATGAATCTCAGCATTTGTACACTGGTGCAAATGTGAGACCGACTTCTGTGTTAACATACAGAAGACCCACTCTAGGAAATCCACACCTAGGATGAGGGAGGGTTGGCCACTTGCAAGAAACAGGACTTATGATGGGGCTGGTAAATAGCTGGAGCTCTTTTAGGTGTCATTATTAGGGATAAAATGACTACAAAGAGAGTCACAGTCCCCTCTTCTCTGTGCTGGTCATGCCTGAGGAAGCTGATATGGGTGGTCCAAGGCAGAATTAAAGAAGCCCAAGTAGCAGATTTCAGCTCAAAACAAGTAGTTGAGCAGTGTAAAGATGGAGTGGATCAAGGAGGATTCCCCTGACTCACCCAGAGAGAAGAATTGTAGTGCCCCAGAATGGAGACAGAGCCAGTTCAGAACAGATTAGATGTGTCATAAAATGAAAAAGTAAGGAGGAAAGAAGGTGAAGTAGGCAGAGTCAGGCCATGAAAAGCCTTGTGAGCAACCTCAATGGAATTTAGACCATTTTTTCCCCTGTGGGTGGTACTAGGGTTTGAACTCCTAGCTCTGTGCTTGTCATGTAGGCATTGCACCATGCTCCCAGCCTTTTTTGTTTTACTTAATTTTCCCCAGGACTAGCTGTGGAATTTCTCCATCTTGGCCTCCTGCATAGCTAGGATTGCAGACTTACATCATGATGCCCAGCTTTTCGTTAGGACACTAGAAAGCAGTTGGAGGTCTAAGGCAGTGATAGAGTTGCATGTGTGCCTGTTAGAAAAAGGTCACTTTAGTTGATGGTAAGAAAGTGTTAGGAAGCACGAACTGAGACTAAACAAGATTAAACAAAATTAGCAAGCTGGAGGAACATTTAAGAAGAGTGGTTCACAGCATCTGGTAGGAGTGAGAGGGCAGAGATCAGGTAGACCTCAACTATCCAGCTGAGATGACTAACTACATGGAGGGGGGGGAGGGGGGGAGAAGGAGAGAGGAAACCAGCCACCAAGAGAAGGAGAATTTGGCACAGGATGTGAGTGGTGAGGTGGTGAGTTTGGTATGATAAGGAGGCAGTAGGGGCTTAGAGCTCTGAAGACAGATGAAATACGTGGGAAAGGCCAAGCTCACCAAGAAAAAGTATTTTTTCAAGGTTGGTTAAAGTGGAAGGTAAATAATATCAAAATGCATTGTGTCTATGCATAAGGCTGGCATAAAGAAACTGTTGGATAGTAGAACAGACAGGGAAAGAGAGAATGATAGAGGGGATTAAAATGACTGAAGTATTATATATATATATATATATATATATATATATATATGAATTCATTTTGTAGAATTAACATATACTAATGAAAGTGAATGATGAGACTATATATAGCAGGTTCTATGGTGGAGTACCAGAGAAAGGGAGGAGGGTGAACATAGAGGGTGAACATGGATTAATGTGGTTGAAGCACTTTACATATATGTATGACAATGGAACAGTGAAACTTGCTGCAGTTGATTGAAGAAGGGAGAGGGGAGACAAAGAGTAATAGAAGGGGTGTATTTGATTAGGGGACATTGTATACATATGTGGAAATATCACAATGAAGCCTCCAATATATGCTAATGCAAAATAAATTACCTTTTTAAAGGGTTAAAGGTAGATAATCAGGTCACATTAATATACAAGAGGCTGATAGAAGAACAATGCACAGAACAGTTGAGTGTAGACAGGTAACAGGGAAGAAAATAATACTGATAACATTTACCTGAAGCCCTGCAGCTTCTACAGCAGTATCACAATAGGTAATCTGAGGCAGACAAGAGCATGTCCACTCTGCCCCTCATATACAAGGCAATGTATTATGGTTTGGATCTGAAGTGGACCCTTGAAGGCCATGAATTAAAGGTCTGGTTGTCAGCTGATGGCATTCCTAGGATCTGTGTAATGTGAGAAGTGAGGACTCATGGGAAGAAGTTGGTCATGGTGGGGAGATGCCTTGGAAGGGCATATCTTGTCCTGTCTGCCCCTTCTTCCCTCCCTCCCTCTTTTGACTTTCTAGCCAGCTTAAATTGAGCAGTTTTGCTCTATGTACACACACTGCATCACCTTGATATTCTGCCTTGACACAGATCAATGGAACCAAGTGACCTTTGAAATTGTGAGGCAGAATAAACCTTTCCCTTTTAAAAATTATTTCTTTAAGGTATTTTGTCACAGTAACAAAAAGCTGAAATACAATAGAAATGCAGGGTGATAGAGACTTATGTTACTTTGTATAAGAAGGCATTCCAGCTGGAAAGGTGGCTTAGTGGTAGAGTGCTTGCCTCCCATGCATGAGGCCCGGGGTTCAATTCCTCAGCACCACATAAACAGAAAAAGCCAGAGAAAAGTGGTGCTGTGGCTCAAGTGATAGACTAGCCTTGAGCTGAAGAGCTAAGGGACAGCACCAGGTCCAGAGTTCAAGCCCCATGACTGACCAAATAACAACAACAATAACAAAAAACCCAAGGCTTTCTAGAATGATAAATCAAATATATAAAGAAAGAAAGAGATCCATGATTTGAACACATGTAAGAGATGTGAAGGAAGAAAGGAGGCAATATGGCAAATCCAAATCCTGAAGAGAAATCAAACATCAGAAGCCAGTTAATCCTCAGCGAATTGTCTTACCACCTTCCCATTTAAAATTGAACTGTAAGGTGGATACCAGTGGTTCATGCCTGTAATCTACTACATGAGAGGAGGCAGATATGGAGAGGACTATGGTTCAAGGATAGCCTGGGCAGGAAAATGCCCTAGACTCTATCTCAATGGAGGACAGGTGTGGCTAGTGCCTGTCATACCACTATAGGAAACTTGGGAAGATCATGGTCTGAGTTCACACTCAGACAGGAAGCAAGACCCTATCTCACAAATAGCCAGTACAAAAAGAAGGGACAGAGGTATGGCTCAGCAGTAGAGAGCCTGCCCAGAAAATAGGAAGCTCTGAGTTTAGTACTACAAAGAAAGAGAGCAAAGAAGGAAGGAAGGCAGGAAGGAAGGAAGGAAGGGAGGGAGGGAGGGAGGGAGGGAGGGAGGGAGAGAGGGAGGGAGGGAGGGAAGGGAAAACAGAAGGGAAAGAAATGGACTATACTCAATTGAAACGGGTCCAAAGAAATGGAACCATGGTGTAACAGTGAGTGTGCCTTGGGCAATCAGAGACTCCCTACATGAATCTGGGATTTACTGTTAGGATAGCATAAATCAGAAATGAACACATTTGCTTCATCTCATAGCCAGGAAAACTGTCTTAAGGTGAAGAGAAGCTCTAGGGGGAGACTGGTGGTCTTGTAAACTATAGCTTAGTCAGGAATTTGATTTAAATGGATTCTACATTGAGTGACTCTAGGCATCTGGCCAAAAGAAATGGAAAATTTTATGGTACTTTAGTTTGTATAAGGCAAGAATATGATGATCATGACTTTGTCTATGGATTCAGATGAACTTGCCTCAAAGTCTGGCTCTGCCACTTGTTTTGTAACCTTGTCTTTGTCTCAATTTCTTCAACCCAAAAGTAAAGATAAGGTAGGACATCCACCTCACAGAACTGTTGTGAGATTCAGTGAGTGAACATATGTAAAGTGTTGAGAACTATGTCTGGCACATTATAAGAACTACATGTGTTGTTATTTAACAGAGAGATCCAGTATGTTCTGGCAAGAAAAAATGGCCTCAATAAAGATGCTGGGTGAGAATGTACAATGAGGCGAATCTTCTGGCAAAAATAACATCTACAGTATACAAATGACCAATCGGAGGTAGGGAAAGTGTCATGACACATATCTGGGTCTCTCTTAACCACACACAGGAAAGTGTAGGTATCCATCTGAAGTCTTTCCTGGGACCTTCAATAGGTGGTGCTATCTTGGCTTTGAGTACTCCCTGCCTGTCTTTATGGTGATTCCAAGCTACTTCTTTGGACTAGTTCTTTGAATACTGGTACCCAGACAAAGGCTCTGAGGGAACACACAGGATGAACTCAAGGGTGCAGAACTTACTGCTCTGTGACGCCCAAATTGGCTGGCAGGGAGGTGAGCCCATTGCCGGTGAGAAGCAGGACACGCAGGTGTGGCAGAATCCCCAGATCACGGATGGCCTCCCCAGTTAGGTTGTTGAAGGAAAGGTCCAAGAACTACCATGCGAAAACAAAAGGGGGAACAGTAGCACTCAATACATGAGGCAGAGGCTGGCGGCATCCCTCTTCCCAGATCCATGACAAACAGGATAAGCCTTCTCTAGCTAACATTCGAGGCCCAGTATAGTCAGTTCTATCTATATTCTAGCCATCACTGCCACTGCACATTTTGTCTTTCCTGTGGTACTGGACCCATGGACTCTTTTCCATTTCTTGCCTCATTCCACTTATATAGCTTCCTACCTTTTCCTTCCAATTACACAGAATTCCCTTCCCCCATGCATCTGAATCCCGGCCTCCAAAGGCCAAATCAAAGTTGCCTCCTTATACAATCTTTCCTGATCCCTGGCTAGATGTAATTTAGCTGACTTATCTAAGCAGGTCTCAGGGTACTTATCAGTCTTCCAGGTATCCAAGACAGCTAGGCACCTGTGAGGAAATAGGACACTGGGAAGTGGATGTGCTTTGTACAATGTCTGGCCCACAATGGATGACCTTGAAATCACAAGCCCTTGAAATCAAGGGCCATGCCACAATAACACTTGTAGTCTAGCATAGGACCTAGCACAAGGAAGATGCACTTAAAAAACTACCTGAAATGAGCTAGCTTGACATTGGCCCCAAATGGACATGTCATCATCAGCCAACTTCTGACTAGCTTCTTGGATTCATAAGATAGTTCATTGGGGCTAAGGGACCAGCCAGGAAGCTAGCTTCTCTCTACAAAGACAGAGACAGTTGGGACAAATGATATCTGCTCATTTTCTGCCTTCTGTTTCCTGAACCTCTCTAGAAACTCTGCCTAAGTCAGCTTCCTCCTCTCCCCACCTATGTGCACCTGGACTCTCCATCATATGCAAACAAAGCCTGTTCAGTGTAGTTAGGTTCAGTGGCTTAAACAGTTCAAGCTGGAGTGGGAGTAATGTCTCTGATCAGCCTCATACAGTCAGACTTATACACATGGCAGGTCTCTGCCCAAGGATTGAGTTTGGTTTCACTCTGCAATAGTAATTAACTGATGAGCTCTGAACAACTGGGTTTACACTGTGGCTTGTGCCATGTGGGTAAATTACTTAATTTGGGCTTCCCTATCTATAAAGTAGAAAGAAATCATTCTCATGTAGATGAAACCTTTAGCCTGGAGTGTGCTTAATTAATGTTTGTCCTCCTCCTCTTCCTTTTATTCATCAGTCCCCTGCTGAAGGCTAACTTTGTACCAATCCCTGCCCTCTGGGAACTGGCAGCCTCTTGAGGCAGCTAGATACCTATGTCCATTTCAGAGTGATGCTGCCAGGATAGATGGCTACACATGTATACACAGAGCACAAAAGAATGGTCGTGTCTACCAAGGGGTCAGGACAAGCTTCAGAAAGCAGATGACATCTGAGCTGCCCTTAGTAGTAGTATCTTTGCAAAATTGTTCAGGGCAAAGAGGCATTGAGATGAGCAAGGAGCAGGAAGAGGAGGCAGGAGGCAGCCTCACTTGAGCCGAGAACTGCAAATGTTTTGAGGATGACCTACCCTACGTTATCAGAAGAGGGCTTGATAAAGACTGGCAGGCCATGAAACACACCAGGCACCAAGGGAGTACCAAGTCAATTCTAAATGGAGGATCTGTTCACACAAGGGGGAAATTCTACCAGGTTGGAGCAAAAAGAAAAGAATGGGTTGGAAAGCCAGCAGAGAGAAGCAGAGTCAAGGGAGGAGAAATCTCTCTTCCTCATCCTCAAGCTCATATGTGGGTAGTCATCAAGACCTATGTCTGGCCTATAGTATTTATTCTTTCCAATCCATTCTTCATAGAGCAGCTAAAATAGCCGCCCTAAAATGCAGTTCTAATCAGACCACTTCCCAGATAGCATCCCTAAGAATTAAGCTCCTTAGCCAAGTTGGCCAAGGTTTTCATGGTCTCTCTAGCCCTCTCCAGGCTCATCCAACACCAGCCTCTACTGGGTCTCTTTGTCCATTCTATAATCTTATCTGTGTTTGTACTTAGGAGTTGGCCAACAGAAGCTTGAAAGCCAAATACAGCCTAATGTCTGTTTGTAAATAATTTTTACATTTATGAAATAAAAGACCAAAAGTGTTTTTAACATGCAGAAATGATGTGAAATTCCAATTTCAGTATCATAAATAAAGGGTTGTTGAAAGCCAGGTAGGCCTAATTGTCTCCAGCTGCTTTCTGGTCACAGCAGCAGAGCTGACCATCATGATAGTCGTGAGGAGTTAGGACCCTATGAATTGAGAAGTCTATATTTACTTCCTGACCTCCTACAGAAAAAGCCTGTGGAATCTGTTTCAGTTGCTTTGGGTATTTACGACTGAATGCAAATTTGCTTTCTATATACATTTAAGGACAGCTCAAAGAACAGATCTGCCTTAAGAATCACAGATCATAGATTTTGGAGCTGACCTAGAATATAAAAAGGGAAAACTTAAGTCCCAGAAAGAGCAAGTTCTTTGGCCAGGGAAGCATGGCAAAGAACTGGAAGAAGCAAGACATGAAACAAGGTCTTCTGATTGCCAGAGCAGGGATCCCACTGAATAGTTTCAGGTCTGTAAAATAAGTGAATCAAATCATGCCCCAAGTAAGTTTTTTTATATTGATGTATAAAGATTTCTCCTCTAGGCTCTTCTCTTTGGGGCAGCCTCTCTGATAAACAAGGACAAAGATTCCTAACTTGGTGATTGTATCTGCTGAGTCACATCAAGTTTTATTACACATTGAAGTATTCATTACTGGAAGCTACAAATCCAGGATATTTGACAGGTTTATCTTTTTTCATAAGGAGCCTTTGCAAATCATGGAGAGATGAAAACAAATGACTGGCCCAGAGATTTCCTTTTCTCATTTATGTTTTGCATCCTAGGTTAGGTCTGTTTTTATAAATAAATTTCTTGGGGACGGTTGGGTCTGCTGGATAAATTATCACCATCAAATGCTATCCAACTACAAAATAGGGCATGCAAAAAATTGATGGTGATCAACCACTGACTACAAATTGAATACAATTGAATACAAATATAATCTGAATAAAAAAAGCAGTTGGTCTGGGAAGATAGCTCAGTGGTAGAGTGCTTGCCTTGCAGGCATGAGGCCCTGGGTTCTATTTCTTAGCACCACATAAACAGAAAAAGCCAGAAGTGGTGCTGTGGTTCAAGTGGTAGAGCATTAGCTTTGAGCTGAAGAGCTAAGGGGCAGCGTCCAGGCCCAGAGTTCAAGCCCCACAACAGACCAAAAAATAAAAAAAAAAATAGGGGCTGGGAAGGTGGCTCAGTGGTAGAGTGCTTGCCTTGTATGCCTGAGGCCCTGGGTTTGATTCCTCAGCACCACATAAACAAAAAGAAAAAGGCCGGAAGTGGTGCTGTGGCTCAAGTGGTAGAGCACTAGCCTTGAGCTGAAGAGCTGAGGGACAGCGCCCAGGCCCAGAGTTCAGTTCCCACAACTGTACCAAAAAAAAAAAAAAAAACGGTTTTCAGAGCTGGGCACCAGTGGCTTAAACCTATAATCCTAGATATTCAAGAAGCTGAGATCTGAGGATTATGGTTCAAACCTAGCCTGAGCAGGAAAGTTCATGACACACTCATTTTTGTCTTTTTTTTTTTGTCAGTCCTTGAACTCTGGCCTACGTGCTGTCCCTAAGCTTTTGTGTTCAACGCTAGTGTTCTATCATTTGAGCCATAGCTCCCCTTCTAGCAATTTTGGTAGTTTTAGTGGAAATAAGTGTCTCACAAACTTTCCTGCCTAGGCTGGCTTTGAACTGTGAATCTCAGATCTCAGCTTCTTGAGTAGCTAGCATTATAGTTAACCACCAGAGAAAAACCAGAAGTGGAACTGTGGCTCAAGAGGCAGAGTGCTCTAGTCTTGAACACAAAAGCTCAGGGACATCACCCAGGACTGGCACAAACAAACAAAGCTAGTCAGTTGTACAGACGGAGCTTGTGGCCATGTCACCTGCCCATGGCCACTAACACTTGAAATAAGTATTTGGAATGGGGAGCTGGAGGGAAGAGAGATTGCTGACACACTGAACAATATGCAAGAACTCAATGACTGGCTCTGAAAAGTCAAAGGATCAAATAAAAGTCCTTAAGACGCTTCCATGTCTGAAGGTCATGGTTCCCTGAATCTCTAGAGTGTTTAGGACCTATTTCTCACTGTCTACTGAAAAACAGACTTAAAAAATACCCAGGGGGGCGGGGGGAAGGATGGAATGGGAAGGGGAAACAAAGGAGGAGGCTACAATTCTTGATAAGAAATGCAGGGCTGGGAAGGTGGCTCAGTGGTAGAGCGCTTGCCTTGCATGCCTGAGGCTCTGGGCTCGATTCCTCAGCACTACATAAGCAAAAAAGAAAAAGCTGGAAGTGGCACTGTGGCTCAAGTGGTAGAGCACTAGCCTTAAGCTGAAGAGCTGAGACGCCCAGGCCCAGAGTTCAGGGCCCACTACCGGACCCCCCCCCCCAAAAAAAAAGAAATGCACTCATTATCTGCCCATGTAATTGTAACCCCTCTGTACAGTATTTTCACACACACACACACACACACAAAAACCCATAGCCCCCAACTGCATCAGTTGTTGCAGATTTACTTTTTCTTAATTTCATGGGACTTTTGAGAACTGCTTCCTGGGTAAATCATAGTAAACGGATGCTATCCTTCAATGTGATTTGAGACTTCAGGAAGAAGTTATTAATACATTCAACATAACATATTTGAAGAATGTAAAGACATATGATCCATCTGGGGAGACACTCATTCCAAAAGTTTAAAGCTGGGCTGGGAAGGTGGCTCAGTGGTAGAGCGCTTGCCTTGCATGCATGAGGCCCTGGGTTCGATTCCTCAGCACCACATAAGCAAAAAAAAAAAAAAAAAAAGCCGGAAGTGGCGCCTGTAGCTCAAGTGGTAGAGCGCTAGCCTTGAGCTGAAGAGCTGAGGGACAGTGCCCAGGCCCAGAGTTCAGGCCCACAACTGGACTCCCCTCCCCCCTCCTCAAGAGTTTAAAGCTTTTTACAACTCATGCATATAAAGATGATGAACTGTAAAAATGCTGGTCCTGGGGATGGCCTTTCACTCCTTTAAGATGATGTGAGGCTTATGTGAAGAATGGTTCACTCTTGATGTTTGCAGATTAGATCATTTCAGTTACCATCTCTTTGGGCTTAACTCCAAGGTTCACAGCTTGTAGACAGTTTGCTGAAGTACAAATAAGAAAGGCTTTAAGACTGGCATGTAAGAAAGGGTCCATTTCTTAGCAAGTGAGTGAGCCACTCCTGGCTTCATGAAAGCAGTGATTTTAGGTAGCAACAAATGTTTTATCCCTTTGTTTAAAGTGTCCCTAAAGTCTTCGTGAAAGCTCAAGAGACAAAATTGAAGTATGAGGACATTCAAGGAAAATGTATGACTATGGAAATTTAATTCAAGAGAAAACCAGGAATATAAACGATTTTTTAAAAAAATTTGAATCTGGGCTTTGAAGACCAGTTTGGTTGTGCTGTGCTTGTGTCTAGAGTTGGCTGTAGAATCATAGTTGCCTAATTATATTTCATCTTCATTGCTGAGTCTATGGACTAGAACTGCAGGCTGTTCTACTGTAGCCTGCTGGGACTGATCTAGTTTACTAAGACCAATATAGGCCTTTTGACAGCAGCTACAAGTCCTCACTTGATCAAGATTTCACCTTTAATTTGTCCTCCTCAGATACTCACAGTTCTACAAAACTCCCTCAATGTAAATAATCCTTGACCTTTACTTTCTAGGATCATGTACCATGGCCCTTGGTATTTACCTGGTGCCACTGCTATCATGCTATTAACCATCCCTCTACTATTTATATCATCACTAGCACCCCACCATCAATCACTGTCATCACCACTACTCTCACAAAGGTGAGCCAAGAAACACTACTTGTAAAGGCCCAGCGATTTCCTTTCCCAAAGTAATAACCATGAGAGAGCCCTGTACTCTCTGGGAAATCTGTGGACACCAAAAACTCCCTACCCTCCAACTTACTTGTAATAACTTAAAGTCTCCATATTTCACATAGACTGTCTTGATGCCATTGAATGCGAGCTCCAGCTCCTTTAAGGCTGGAAATGTGTGAAATGCCTCTACATGGGGAGAAAAAGAGAGAAGCTGCAGCTTTCAAAGGACTTAAGAGAAAGATATCACTAAGGACAGTTCCCACTGGGTCAGGCCAAGCACTGTGGATGGCGTTTTACACACCTGGCCTCTAAATCTCTGATGATCCTCACAGATAAGGATTGCTAGTCCTCTTATGGCTGCAGAAATTAAGGCTCAGACTGGTTAAGTGATTTGCTAGAAATGAAATTGCTGTTAAGTGAAAGAAATAAGCATTGACTCTAAGTCTTCCCAACCACAAAGCCCATTTAAAATTTATCTTTAGTATTTCTGATTACAGCAGTTAAACATACCCACCAAAAATAGCTAAACAACACAGAAAAACAAAAATTCCCTTTAATCCCAACACCCAGATAATAATAGTAATGATGATAATAATATTCCATGATTATTTTCAATAAGAATAGTAATTTTTTCCAGTGTATACTGAAACACACACACTTCTTTCTACAAAAATGGAATCATATTACAGTGTACAATCCTCTTGACAGCTGCCATTAAGTCTTCCTACTGAAAGTCAGCCAAGACTGTTTCTTGTTGGAAGGATTAAGTCCAAGTCTGTGAAGATACATGATGATCAAGTCCCTGACATAATGTATACTCTCAATTTTCCCATACATGTTTCCTTTGTAATCATCCAAAACCTTTTCAGTCTCCTTGATCAGTTCTGCTATTCCATCTGCTTCACTGGCCTGAAATGCCTTTCTACCTTCTAAATTCCTGAACTACTTTTATTTCTTCTTCTTTTTAATCTTAGCTTAAGTTTTCCTTTTCTGAAGTTTTAACAAGCCACCGGATCACCAGGGGAAGAGCTAGACACATTCTCTACAGTTCACACAATCTCATAGTAGTCCTAACACCAGCAGGGGTCACTGTGGGCTTGGTGAATAACAGAAAACTTTTTCTTCCTCTAGAAGTATCTGCAGGTGTAAATATGTATCTCATCTGAGGTTTTTGTTTTTGCTTTTTTACACAGCTGAGTATTCAACTCAGGACCTTTCACTTATCAGGCAGATGCTCTTCCCAGACTGAGCTAAATCCAAACTTTCATCTGAGTTTGTAGGTAGCAGATTATCTCATTTAGAGGAAACAAAACAAAACAAAACAAAACAAAAAATCTGCAGTTCACACTGGGCACCAGTGGCACACACCTGTAATCTTAGTTATTCAGGAAACAGATCTGAGGGGTGTAGTACAAAGCCAGCCTGGGCAGAGAAAGTCTGTGAGACTCTTAACTCCAATTAACCACCAAAAAGCTGAAAGTGGAGCTATGGCTAAGTGGTAGAATGCTAGCTTTGAGCAAAAAGCTCAAGAGGATAGTGCCCAGGCCCTAAAGTTCAAGCCCCAGGACTGGTACAAACAACAACAACCAAAAAAAAAAAAAAGAATCTAACAAAAAAAGCTGCAGCTCAGAGAAATATACTAAATAAGCAGTTATCATGAGGCTGGAAGAGGTTCTATTTACTCTCCAGCACCCAGCATGTTGTGCTCCACAAAGGACATGCGTGGCTGATGAGGATGGACAGACAGACAGACAAATTCTAACACAGGTGAATAGCTGTGCCAACCAGGAGGCGGAAGATAGTTTTCCAGAAGAAAAAGCTCACCTAGAGGCAGCAGGTTTTCTGAGGCATTGATATAAATCACAGAAGTAAAATGCTTGAAGTCCTTTTCATTCACCTGTAGGAAAATCATCATGAATGATACTTTGATGACCATTGTGACCACTATAAAATATATAATTATGTATAAAATATATAAATCATAAAATACATAAAACCTTCTATCTTTGAAATTTTTTGAAGAAATAAGTGAACTATTAGAGGGTTGACCATCACTACAACCCTCCACATTTCCCTCCCAATCATGTACTATCTTGAATTGGTGATCATTTCCATTCCTGTTTTGTATTATGTTATAGTCATGCACATATCTACATGTGTATCCATCAATTATAGTGCTGTTTAAATATTTTAAAACTTTATATTAAGTGCAACAATATGGTAGATACGCTTCATTGTGCATTTGCACAGTATATTTCTGTGATTTGTGTTGATATACATATATGTGTATTGCTCTAGATCATCCACTTGAATCAACTTGAATTCCTGGGTACTGTTCCCATTGTGTGAATGTTATAAGTTATAACTTCTCCTAGTTTATTTCCAAGCTTTCTTTCTTTTTTGGGGGGGGGGAGGGTCCAGTCATGGGGCCTGAACTCTGGGCCTGGGCGCTGTCCCTCAGCTCTGCTCAAGGCTAGCTCTCTACCACATGAGCCACAGCACCACTTCTGGCTTTTTTCTTTTTGCTGAGGAATCGAACCCAGGGCCTCATGCATGCAAGGCGCGCTCTACCACTGAGCCACCTTCCCAGCCCCCAAGCTTTCATTCTTCGTACATTCCTTCCCATCAGAAGAGTTTCTTTAATATCCCTACCAGATAGTGGGAACTTGTGATGGAAACTCAAGTGTCATAAAAAGAATTAAATCCCATCAAAATTCTTTCTTGGGGTGGGGGGAGTACTGGACAGAACTCAGGGCTTTACACTTGTTAGCAGGTGTTCTATCCCCACTTGAGCCATGCAGCTGATCCCTCTGTGTTTTAGTTCCTTGTCATGTAAAGTTTTGTGCTTTTGTCCAGGACTTGTCTCAGGCCACAATTCTACCTATGCTTCCCATACAGATGGATCACAAAAATTATTAATTGAGATGGAGTATCACTACCCCTTTTCCCCAGACTGGCCTCAAACCAAATTCCTCTTAATCTCCATCTCCTAAGTAACTTCCATTGAACGTCTAGGCCTCCATGCCCAGCCAGAAAGCCCACCAAAATTCTACTGCAAGTTCAAAGGTAGATTTCTATGGTGAGTTCTCTTAATTCACACCAAATGGGACAATGGAAAAACCCAATCTCTAGCAAATATTGATTTCTAAATACTTTTTCCACTCATTGTTTAACCTGTCCCTCCTTCCTTCTAATCCACAGAAACTCTGGAGGGGCAACACACAAACCAGAAGAACCAGGTACCTCTCATATTTGGCTCACTCTAGTCATGTGTTCACTACTGGCCTTACCTGGGATAACTTTAGGCCACTCACGTTGATGTTGCAAAGGTCTGATGGCCTTGTCACACCATGGTGTTTCAGCTTGGGACACAAGATACAGAGTTAGCTCTCAAGACCACAACAAAATGCAACCAATTAAAAGCTATTTTTGTTCAGTATTTTCTTGTTGGGCCCTCTTACACATTTATCATTTGCTTGCTTGCTCATTCATTCATTATTTATAGCACAGTAATTACTAAGCACTATTTTGGGCTATTCACTATACTAAATATATTAGCACACTGTCTTATAACTAAGCCCTTTGTCATAAGTAAAATTATCTCATTCTTTTTGTATGTGGTACTGGGGATAAAACTCACAAACTAAGCAAATGCTCTACCATTGAATTAAGCCTCCAGCTCTCTCTCTTTTTTCATAAGGTCAAGAACGGACAAATACCTTGCATAAGTAATTGATAGTTATGATTTGAATTCAAATCTGTTATCATTAGACTACACACATATTTCCCTGCCATATATCATGTTTAAAAAGTTAGAAGCAGCTGGTCACCAGTAGCTCACATCTGTAATCCTACCTACTTAGGAGGCTGAGATCATGCCCAGATACTACGTTCAAGCCCTAGCACTAGTGCGTGCACACACACACACACACACACACACACACACACACACAGAAGTTAAAAGCAAATCTCAACCTTATTCATGTTTACTGGAACTCTTTCCTTTGTTCCATTAATTATTCACAGTAACTGCTATATTTAGGCCCTGAATTATGCTGGGCAGTGGGAAGACAATAGAAACAAAGCAGAAGCAGTCCATGCTTTTTCAGATTCTAAACTCTCATGGAAAGCTGAGTGATAAACAAGTATTATAAATGTATTTTAAGATTTGAGGTCCTATGAGAGACAGTAACAGGAGCCTAACCTTAGTGTAAAAGTGAGGAAATGGTAAGTTGAAGTAATGATATTTAAGCTGAGAGCTAAGAGTTGAACAGGAATTAGTCCTATGAAGTGGGTATCAGGGATGGTGAAGTCTACCAGGCTGGAAAAGATAAGGTGCTTTTAATGGAATGACAAACATAAAAATGTAGAAAGGTGGTCATCATGTTGATACTTGCTGGTTCTGAACCAAATTATGATTTTTATCCTACAACCAATAAAAGGCTGTTGGTGATTTTCTTTAAAGCAAGAAACAAATAAAGGATGAGAAGACAGGAGAGAAGAATGTACAAGATTTATTAATTACTTTCCCATAACTACTTCTCTGCTCCTTCTATGTTAAAGTGGACGGATTATATTCACCTTGAGTGAATATATTCTAAGTCCTAGTTCTGACTAAGCTAATCCTAGAGATCTCCTTCTCACTGATGACTGTTTAAACATGTGTCATAAACTACCCAATGAGACACTGGCTGCTGCTGATAGTAAGGTTGGATGACCAGTTAAGGAAAGCTTTCTTCTAAAAATTGACGTAAGACACTGGCTATCCTCTATATGTGATGATAGAATTGCTGCAGCAACCTCAGGATCATGAAGGCTATCATCCCAAGAGGACAATTTAGTATATTAAATGACAGAAGATGATGGACGACAGAGAAGGAGGATGGAAGGAACCTGAACCTTGTAAGATGTTATTCAACCAGTAAATTAATCTACCTAATAAAAGGCATCCTCACTTGTTCAACTAGTTAGGAAGTTATCAATCACTCCAATAAGAGATGATGGTAGCCAAGTTAAAGATGGTGGCCATAGAAATTTAGTAAAAAAAAAAAAATTCCAGGATTAGGTAAGGGTTGGTGTTGGGGACAGTGAAGGAGAAGAAGGTATAAAGTATTCCCCCAGATTATTGGCTTGGGACTAGGGAGATAGTCAGGCCAACATAAAGTATAGTAATACTGGAGAAAAACAATTTGGGGACTTGTAGAGGGAGGATAATTTAACAAGGGTTTGACAGCAAAGCATTCAAGTAGAACCATCCAACTGGCAGAATGTGTTATCTTGTTACTCCAAAAACAAACAACAAACCAAACTTGCTGCTTTTTTTTTCTACCCAAAATGGAATTGGGTAATAAGCCATACCCATGAAATATGGGAATATATATGTATAGTTGTCCTTCAGTATCTGCTAGCAACTAGTTCTAGAACCCTCATCTAATACCAAAATGTGCAGGTGCTCAAGTGTCTTACATAAAATGGTGTCCTATTTGTATGTAGTCTGAGCAATCCTCCTGTATCCTTAGAACCATTTCTAGTTTATTATACCTAATATAAATAAATAATATGAAAATTGTTGTATTGTTTAAGGAACAGTGACTTTTAAAAGTGTGTGCATGCTTAGTAGAGGGAAATGTTTTATTTCACTTTTTCAAATATTTACAATCTATGGATTGAATATCTCATACCCATGCATATGAAGGGCCAATGGTCATTTGGCAATAAAGAGAAGGAGCACCATGGCAAGTGTTTCTGCCTTGCCTCAGTATTACTGTTTCAGTCCTCCCCACCTCTAATGAGGTGCATAAAGGAAGGTAACAATGAAACCAATTCCATAGGCTCTGCATAAAAGCTTGCATTACTCAGTTAATGTGAAATGAAACCAGCTACATTCTCTTGCAACTCCTGATCTATGTAGAAACCATTTCTTGGGACCCATGGGCAGAAGCTGAGAACAAAGAAGGCTACCAGGAAATTCTTCCCATGGAAGCAGTGAGAACCAGACTGCTCATTAATATTGATTTACAAAATATGTCTTTCTTTGCAAAGTCCCTGAAGCATTGCACAGAACAGATGTGAAACTAGCTGGCAGGTCTCCAACCCTGTCACCTTAGCTCTTTTCATCAAAGACTACCCTAGGTTCTGAGAAATAACTGGTCAGTTCCTCTGGCATTTAGCTAAATGCTAAAGCCAAGAGACAAAGGCTATGGGAAAGGAAGACCTCCCCAATTCCACCAGCTCCTAGAAAAGTCACCTTAGGGCAGAGCAGAGCAGGAATCTCGATCTTCCTATGCATTGGAATAGTCTTCTCAATTGACTCCCACTCAACTGCTGTGGTGCCTCTCCAATACTTCATATAATGTGAAAGTACAGGCTTTGGAGCTAATAGACCAGAGTTCTAATCTTGACCCAGCCATATACTGACTGTGGGACTTCCGCCATGGCCAATGACCTCTCAGGGCCTCATTTTCCCATGTGCCCAATTGTAACAATATAATAAGGATGGCAATAACATGCCCATTTCACAAGATGTATCCAAAGGAGGCTTTACATATAAAGTCTTGGGCCCTTCCTCATGGAATTTGCCAATATCACTCTCATGAGCTGTGGTAGTTGTATCAGTCAGGGTGACCCTTTACACCAGTCAGGACAAGGGTAGGTCAGGGCAGTCCTGTCATTTCTCCTCCTCTTCCTCCTCCTCATCTCCCAGCTGATGCTGCCAGTCATTCTAGGATGCATTTACTCTCACCAGAAAAGCCCGGTCCATAATGTATCTAGAAATGTCTACTTCGCTTTCCTGTTGAGATGCTTTCTTATCCAGAATCTCAAAAGAAACCTTCTTCAGCTGTTGTTGATTTTCAACAGATGTCTGAGGTTCATGCACAGTTTTCTTCTTAGCACTACTTCTCCGAGCCACTAACCAGTGTCCTCGGCCTGTTGGAAAGATCAGAACACTGAGAAAGGGGTAAAGTCCTCTAAAGTTACAGTGAGTACAATTACATAACACTCAGCCAAAAATAGCTCCTAATTATTACCATACAACAGATGCTATACTTCTTTCTGCTAGGGGTGGGAGATGTCACCATACCTATCTAATTTAACTGCCTCCCATAGTCCAAATGAAGGACATGTTACTGATTGTATTTTACAGATGAAAAGGCTTAGACTAAAAGAATACTTACTCAATTTCTTGTGGAATGCTTACTCAATTTCTTTCTTCACATGTTCATTATTGTTCCTTTAAGACCCAACATCAAGTATTTTCTATTCTGTGAAGTTTTTCCTGACCCCAACAAAGGACTGGATTCCCTATTTCCTATGTCAGTCAGTTACTCTCTTGGTTGGTCATAGTTTAGATAAAAGACCTCAACTCAGTGGGATCCCTCTTCCCAGACTTCCATCACTGTAGAGAGAAAGTTATGTTGAAAACTCAGAATAAGAAAGTGAGAAGAGGGATGGAGATATAACTCAGAGCATTTGTCTAGCTTGCATAAGACCCCAGAGGTTTGATACCCATCACTGAAAGAAAAAAAAGGAGGAAAAAAAAGAGGTGTAAGAAACAACAAACAATTATGGTCACTGTAGAAAACACAAGAAATTTGTCAGCAAAAAGAAAAAGATGAAGTTTACTAGTAAGCTGACCTAACAAAAATCAGGTGCCAAGTGCCTACGGTTTGTCTGTATTCCTAGCTACTCAGGAAGCTGAGATCTGAGGATCATGGTTCAAAGCCAGCCCAGGCAGAAAAGTCATCTTGAGACTCTTTTGCCAGTAAACTACTCAAAAAAACTAGAAGTGGCTCTGTGGCTCAAGTATTAGAGAGCTAGTCTTGAACACGAAGAGGCCCAGGGACAGCACCCTGAGTTCAAGCCCCAGAATCAGAAAAAAAAAAAAAGCAGGAACTTTGTCTAACTCAACCTGGTATAGCCAATGCTTGTACAGAACTTACCGTATTGTAAATGTTGCTGACTTAGTGAAGGCTGAGCCATGGCTCCCACCCACAAAATCGCCCATTCAGCCCTTTTTTGAACATCTACTTTGTGCAGGGACCTGGGGATATATGAATGGATAAGACTCCCCCCCCCCAAAAAAAAAAAACTTTTAACGATTTATGAGTTGCTATGCAAGCCCAGAGAAGAAACTACCAGACTAGGGCATGAGTGGATATAGTAAGTTGAAGGGAGTTTGCTATGTGAAGACTGGAAACCAAGCAGAGGAAAGCACAGAAGCAATACACAGAAATAGAGATGAGGACCAAGCAAAGACAAATAGTTGTAGGAACCAGCCTTCTACCACTGTCTGTCGTCTGGTACAGTTGAAACCCTGCATTGGGGACTTGAGACAATTCCTGCCTTGTGTTTTGCATGAGCCATTTCTCACTCCCACTCTGGGCTCAATAGTCCAGGTAACCCATTGCCAAATATTTCACTATCCAGACATGGACTTCAGTTCTCTTTGATCCTATCCTCAAATCCTCCATTCCTTAAGACACCAGTCTAAGTTTGTACCAAAATTCATGGCTAGGAAGAAAGGCCCAGAGCTGAAGACATAAGGATGAGGCTGGAGAGGTCAGCAGAGTCAGGCTATGAGGTCCTGAAGAGGTCCTGAAAAATCACACAAAGTGTTGTCATGGAACTAGGCTTTTAGCAGGAAGAGAATCAAGGGAGACAATGTTCTCCTTCATGTTTTTTCATCTTGAGAAAGGTTTGGATTTCCAAAAACAATTGCAAAAGTAGTCCAGATTCCCATGTAGCCTTCACCTAACTACCTTAACTGCTCACATCTTAATGTAACTGTAATACAGTGATTGAAACCAAGCAATTAATACTGGTATGGTATCAGTTACTTGTCTCACCCTTTTTCCTTTTGAGGTTTTCTCACTAATGTTCTTGTTTTGCTTCAGGACCTCATACTCCACTCAGCTGTCATAGTACCTCAGTGTGTCCCAGTCTGTGCAGGCTTTTTTTTCCCCTTGTGTAACCTTAACATTTGTGAAAAGCACTTGCCAATTGTTTTCTAAATCATTTTTAAGTTTGAACTGGATACTTTTCCATGATTAAATTGAAGATATGTCTTTGGCAAAGCTACCACAGAAGCAAAGATGGAACTTCCTTACCATATGATTTCAGAGAGTTCGTGAAGCCATTATGCCTCATTTCTGGTGATGTTAATTTTTTTAAGACAAGGTCTATATGTTATATAGCCCAGGCTGACTCTGAACTCACAATCTGCCCACTTCAGCCTCCTGAGTACTGGGATTACAGGTGTGTGTCATTACATCTAGAATTGTGATATTAATTTTGATTACTCAGTTGAAGTGCTGTCTCATTTCTTGACTGAAAAATTACGGTCTTTCCCTTTGTAATTAATAAATATACCTTGATATTGGGAGTATAGTTAGTAATACAGTGTTGTCTAATATGTGCAAGGCCCTTGGTACCAACGTTTATACCAGGAAAAAAATACTACAGTATCAGCTCTTACAGTTTCCTCAGCCCCCCCCAAAATCAATAAGCCGATTCCTGGTGAGAACAGGAATCAATCTCTCTCTCTCTCTCTTTCTCTCTCTCTCTATCTATCTATCTAATCTATCTATCTCTATCTCTATCTCTATTTCCTACTAGTCCTGGCTGTTACCTGTAAAATTTTAGTGATTTCCTATTTCTCTCATTCCTTTTATATATATATATATATATATATATATATATATATATATTTTTTTTTTTTTTTTTTTTTGTTGGTCGTGGGGCTTGAACTCTGGGCCTGGGCGCTGTCCCTCAGCTCTTCAGCTCAAGGCGAGCGCTCTACCACTTGAGCTACAGCGCCACTTCCGGTTTTCTGGTGATTTATTGGAGATAGGAGTCTCACGGTCTCTCCTGCCCGGGCTGGCTTTGAACCGAGATCCTCAGATCTCAGCCTCCTGAGTAGCTAGGATTACAGGCGTGAGCCACCAGCGCCCGGCTTCCTTTTATATTTATTAGTTAGGCTCTATTATAAGAAAAAGTTGTTCTTTCTCCCCCACTTATATATTTATTCAAATATTTATTTGTATCACTATGGACTCATAAATATTCATTTATTCAATAGTTTATTTCATTGCTTAGACTGTTCCAGCTTGGGCCCTGTTATTTGGCGCTAGTATCTTTTCAATCTTTCCCCATCACTTTGAGAACTTCTTTACTTTCTGATAACACTAGGCCCAATTTGGTTCAGCCAAGAATGGAGAAACATCTATTTCTCTCAGGAGTCCTTGCTTCTTTCACTGGAGAATGGTATTTACAAACCAAAGATCTAAGAAGTATGTTCTTTACTGCTAAGGTGGTGGTGTTCTCAGCAGACATATACATAGGTATACAAACACAGATAACAGCTCTATATTTCTGTAGCTCTCCATCTGTAGGGTAGGGGGAAGATAAATGAATGAATTCATAGATCTCTTGCAGGATTTTAAACAAGTCCATTTCTAAGGAAGGTCCATATACAAAAATGAAATTATTCTAGAAAAATGGAAGGACTAACTAGAGGACACGGTTCCTTTAACATTCTATATACAGCAATCCTCTGTCACCTAAGGCTTTTCTATCTGTGGTTTTAGTTACTGGCAATCAACTACAATCTAAATATATTAATAGAAAATTCTGGAAGTAGAAAATTCATTAAGTTTTAATGAACTTTTTGCCATATATTGTTTCATTAGCTAACTAGAGTAACTATAACCATATATGTCAATTTTGTACTATGCCTAATTTATAAATTACATGTTATTATAGGTATATATATATATATATATATATATATATAAAATATATATATCTATATATCTATCTATCTATCTATCTAGAAAAAGACAGTCTGTATAGGTTCCAGGCACCATTTAGGGCTCTTGGAACATATTCCACAAATATAAATTGATTACCAACAAGTTACAACCCTGGCATAAACAAGGTGTACTTTTCTCTTGCCCTTTCAAAGAATCAAAGCATTCTATCTAGAAAGTATTCTATCTACAGGTCTCTGCTCAGTGTTAGGAGGGGGGTCCCAGGGATAGCAGTGTGAAGTTTCAGCACTTTGAGTTAGGAGCTGGGCAGAATATGATTGCTTATCAAGTAAGTGACACAGAAAGGTACACCAAAGACTAGGGCTGGCTTGTTGAAAAAGGTGGAGAGAGTGGGTTTCATGGATGGGAAGAGTTTAGATATCTGGAATGAAGACTAGAACATTCAAAGCAAATCAAAAAGCTGTGTGAAAATAGAGTACTGTGGAATGAGTCAAAAGTAAAGCAAGGGGGCTGTAGTTGAGAGTAGGACAGGTAAAGAGACTATAAAGGATAGGTTATATGTCTGCAATGAGGCTACTGAACAGCAGGGGGCACTGCTGTAGGAGACCCACTGAGGCCGCTGTGAGAAGGATGGAGGGGAGGGGACAGCACTGAGAGTACCAGAGGAAAATGTTATGAAGGAGCTGGGGAGGATGACATGGAATGTGTGACGCAGGAGCTAGGGCTGGGGAGAAGGTATCAATTTGAGAAGTCACCTGACCTTCCTCAGGCATCCGTAGCAGATTTCTGGCTGGAAAGCAGTTGCCCAGGTAGGGTTTCCCATCGTCCAGCTTGTATATTCCTGAGGTAGTCATCTCCCTAAGGACCAGCAAGGACAGAGAGGAGTAAGATAAGCAGAAGTAGCAGCTGAACTCTTTGACTCCAGAATAGCTCATGAGCCCTCTAGGACCACTGTGCCCTGCATACCTGCCTCTGGGGTTCCAGAGATGCCCCTCCCCCCCACACCCACTCTATGGCAGAAATGGGCTGTCATTTAAGTGAGAGGAGATGGGTCCTGGGTTTTCCAGCTCAAATCAGTCTAACTCTACTAGAAATACTAGCAATAGAATACTAGAAACAGCATTACCTTTTGGCTTATACAGACCTGGTTTGTGTATAATTGTATATTTGGGGAAGCTCTTTCTTTGGGATCCTCAGTTTCCTCATGTGTAAAATGTTTGCAAATGATCTTACTTTGTTATGTTACTGGGTTTAAACTCAGGGCCTCACACTTACTAGCTAAGCACTCTATACTGTATTATGCCTCCAGCCCATTTTTGTACTGGTATGGCAAGGGAGAAGTATACCTTATTTATACCAGAGTTGTGACTGGCTTCTTGCCCAAGAATATACGTGGACTGTGATCCTCCTATTTTACATTTCCCTTTGTAGCTAGGATGACAGGGGCATGTTACTGCACCTCACTTCTGTTGAAATGGAGTCTCATGAACTTTTCTGCCCAGCCTGGCCTAGAATGACAATCTGCCTGCTCTCAGCATCCCAAGTAGCTAGAATTACTAGGCCTGCATAATAATCCCACTTTAATAGAGAAACTATAGCATCAAGTGAGAAAGGGAGCACCAAGTACATATTACCTGTTCGCAAACTCTTCTGTTTTAACTGAGTTTCAAGAGAAGGGGGGCTCACATTTTAGGGAAGATGATATGCAAATAATGAATAATGAGAGCCATGATGAGAGCTGGGGAGAGCCATGACCCCAAATATGCTTTAGAAAGGGAGGTCTGACAAAAACGTACTGGATGAAAGTGATTAGCAGCTGGGATTGTATGAAGACCACTGTAGCAATGAGGGTCCATGCCAAACACTGAGTAACAAAAGCAAAACAAAAAGAGCAGAAGGAAAGAAGAGAAGAAGAAAGGGAAGGCAAAGAAAAAGAGCAACAGATCAACTGCAAGTACAAGCATTTAAGTTAGAAGCAAAGAGGAGCAGACCTGGAGAATTAAGAAAGGAACTGTAGAAAAGATTTAAGGGATAGAGGTCAGGCAGGGAGCTGTCAAGTAAACCAATGGAAGAGAAAGTTTCAGGAAAAAGAAAGAGCAGGAAGTGGCGCTGTAGCTCAAGTGGTAGAGCGCTCGCCTTGAGCTGAAGAGCTGAGGAACAGCGCCCAGGCCCCGAGTTCAAGCCCCACGACCGACAAAAAAAAAAAAAAAAAGAAAAAGAAAGAGCAGTCAGGCAAGGGTAGGATAAAAACTAGTCCATAAAGCCAGGAATGGTGGTTCATCCTGTAATCCTTGCATTTGGGAGGTAAAGGTAGAAGGATCATGAGCTCCAAGCCAGCATGAGTTTTGCAGTGAGTTTGAGGCCAGCCTGAGCTACAGAATGATACTGTCTCAAAAAACAACAACAACAAAAAAAAAGTCAACCAACCATACAAAAAAATCTGAAACAGAACTTTTTAAGTTAATACTGAACTCTGTCACAATCTGATGACAAACCTTGCAAAAACCTGCATTTTAATCAAGAGTTAGAAATACAAATGGTTATAGAAGTTGGCTAGACCATGTGAATGAAGAAACCTGGATGTGGGAGGGAAGAGCATGGAAGAGGAGCAAGTGTATGAGTATGCATCTGCCTACAGAGATCACACCCAGACATGGTGGGGCATATCTATAGTCTTGGCACTCAGGAGGCTAAGGTAAAAGAATCATGAATTGGAAGCCAGCCTTACTACACAGCAAGACCCTGTGTCTCAAAAGCCAATGACAGCAAATGAGTTGGCTCCTATTTAGCTTTCACAACCACTACCACGTACAAATGTGAGTCAGTGTTGCCAGATATTCCCATTTTTTCCAAAGAATTCTGCCATTTGCAGAAAAACTCCTGATTATTTGAGTGCTGGTAATGAATATACCATTTTGAAATAAGGTATAGGCCAAACCAGTGGGGAGTAGATTCAACCCAAAGGGTTCCTGCATATTTTTACTGATTGAAATTTTTGATCTCATGGTGTAAGAATTAAATAGTAGGTCCTATTCAAATAAATAAACCAACTCCTCTGCTTTGCTTTTCAATTTCAATAACAAATACTTCCTTCTCTCTTGAAAATGCACATTTGGGCATTACTAATGCCTCCTGGATGTCATCCTAGACCAATGCCCCTCTTCTTACCTCACGTAGCTAAGTGATTATTGAGTGATACTTTGGGCTCAAAAATACTGCATCATCTCCCAGGTAGACGACTGCAACTGTCATCTGAGTTCCCACTGAGCATGAAGGCTAGATGCCAGAGCCTGGTCCTGAAGGACCTTAGCACCCTATTCTCTAACCTTTCTAGCTCCAGCTAGTCCTGCCCATTCAGGCTCTCTAGGCTGTACTTTATCCCTAACGCACATCATTCACATGTGAGCCTTTTTCTAGGTATTCTTTTGAATATCCTTTCCCACCTTGTCATCCTTTAAAATTCAACCCCAGGGCTACACTAGAGATCTAAGTTCCTTAAGTCGTGAGCTCTTAGAAATTTCTCTTAAAAGGGATCTAGCCATTCTCAGATCTGCTTTAAGACGGGTCCACACAATTTGAAGTGGCAAAGTTGTAGGGATTTGTAAGCCCCTAGCCAGAGGAAGGGAGACCACATGAAGACTATGGAATCATGACTTAACAGGATGGGGCAACGTTCAGTAAAAGGCAGGCAGGTCCAGTGAGGAGAGCTGGGATCCAAGTGTTTTGGAGTGACAGTAGGAAAGGAAATAATTTGGGGGAATGGGAAGCTTAAGTTTGAATTTAGTTTTTATTACAAAGAAAGCTGACTTTTATCAAATTACTTGACCTATTTGTGCTTCAGATTTCCTATATCAAAAATGATGATAAAAGTTCTGTGTTCATAAGACTTTTAGTAAAAATTAAATGAGACAGACATGGTGCTTTATGCCTATAATCCTAACTGATCAGGAGGCAGAGAGGATCAAAGTTTGAGACCAGTCTGGATAGAAAATCCATGAGATGCCATTTCAACCAACAACACATAGGCAGTGGTATACATCTGTCCTCTCAGCAATGTGAGAAGCATAAATAGGAGGATCAAAGTCCAGGACATCCCAGGCAGAAATATAATGTATTTGAAAAGAGATGAAAGCAAAAGTGGGCTAGAGGTGTGGCTCTAGTGGTAGAGCAGCTGCCTACCAACCACAAGGCCCTGAGTTCAATCTACAATACTTAATTAAAAAAAAAGATTGTTAAATATCATGAAGGGCTCCTTCATGGAACTATAAGCCTCCAAATTTATGTCCAATTCATTGTCTTTCTTCCACTCTTGGGACCCAGCTCATAAGAAAGACCCAATAGATATGTGTGAGCCAAATGAAAGCTATGATGGCACCCTTGAGACCTACAAGTGTATGTGTAACTGAATTAATTACTAGACTCCAGGATCCTCATGGGAAAAAGCACCATTTATGGTATTAAACCATCAGCTTATGCTTGTAGTCAGTAGCTTATGCTTGTAATCCTAGCTATTCAGGAGACTGAGATATGAAGATCATGGTTCAAAGCCAGCCTGGGCAGGAAGGAAAGTCTGTGAGACTCTAAGCTCTAATTAACCACCAGAAAGCTGGAAGTGGAAGTGTGGCTCAAGTAGTAGAGCACTAGTCTTGAATGAAAAAAATAAAGGACAGTGCCCAGGCCTTACATTCAAGTCCCAGGATTGGTGTGTGCTTGTGCATGCGAGTGTGCACGCGCGCGCACACACACACACACACACTCAATATAACACCAGGCATAAAACAGCTTCTCTCTCTCTCTCTCTGGATTTTCTGATCTCTGACCTCCTCTGCAAAAGGTGAGGTATTCTTATGTGTTCCTATAGTACCCATTCTTGTCCTAGTATACTACTTACAGCTTTATCATATTGGTTTGGACCCATCACTAACTTCCCATTAAGGTTAACACCCAGTACTCACTCAAAATATGTTGGAAAGATTGTTTGGCTAAGTGGATGAATGAGGACAGATTCACATTCAGTGCATCTGCCCTTCAGTGGAAATCCTTTCTGCTAGAGAGGTGAATAAAGGAATAAAGGAGTAAATCACTGCCTGGGAAATGTGAGAGATGATGGCTGTTGGAAAAGCATTCAGTTTCTTCTAGAATATTGGGACCCAGCTTTCAACATAGTACTTACTTGAGCTTTAAATTTGGCAATAAACCCTTGCTTTCCTTTTTCTTTTGTTTCTTGATCTGTCTTTTGACCTGTAAAATAGATGTTAAATCCCTCTTAGTCTGTCACTCAGAGCTCTTGGACTTTTTTTTTTTTTTGTGGGACTGGGGTTTGAATTCAGGACCTTGCTAGGCAGATGCTCTGCCACTTGAGCCATTCCACCAGTCCTAAAGTGTTTTTTTCCAATTGTATCTTACAATGAGCCTTCTGGTCTACAATGCATCTTATCAGAGGCTTAGGGGGAAAACCATAGGGTGGAAGAAATAGCTGAACATACATATGGATATATGGAATGTATATTCATAAAAATATGTGTATGGACCTAGATAGGAGACATGGACAAAGATGGCAAAGAGTATATGAAAATAGTTTTATGATAATGGAGTATTCTTGGATTGGTTATGTAAAATAAAAAAAACATAAATCAGAAAGGAAAAGATCATTTATACAATCATTTAAATAAAATGTATTTCTGCAGCATAAAAATGGTAGAGACAGAGTTGGCTATTGGTGGCTAACACCTCTAATTCTAGCTATTCAGGAGGCTGAGATCTGAGAATCACTATTCAAAGCTAGCTGGAAGTAGAAGTATAGCTCAAGTGGCAGGGTACCAGAGAAGTTGAGCACGAAAAGTGAGAGCATGAGGTCTTGAGTGTTCAAGATCTAATACCACCACAAAAAAGGCGATAATGCTCCTCACCTGTATCTGAATATATGTAATCCTTTCATCCCATTGCTTATCATACTGTTACCTTATTTTTTGACTCATGCAGGTAACTTTCTCCCTAGTCTCAGGTTGACTCTCAGCTGAGGTACCACCTCAAGCTTACTTCTGCCACACTTCAGAGGCCCTGTGCCATACTGTATTATAATGACTTGCATCTCTGACTATTCTCCACCCACTAACTTCAGATTGAGGCTGAATTGCTCCAAGGCCAAGCCTGGGCCTATGTTAACTCTCTCCACAGCACCTCATACAGGAACTGGTCTACTTAAGGGAGAATGGTAACAAAACTGAACAACGAACAATGCTACTGGTACATTTCATTTTGTCTACAAAGGTGGAAGATGCAAGGATCAGGGAGAGTTTCACACAGCAGGTCTTGAAAAATTAGAACTGAGTCTTGAAAAATGAGAAGTGGGCTGGGAAGGTGGTTCAGTGGTAGAGTGCTTTGCCTTGCATGCATGAAGTCCTAGGTTCCATTCCTCAGCCCCACATTAGCAGAAAAGGCCGGAAGTGGCGCTGTGGCTCAAATGGTGGCGGGCCAGCCTTGAGCTGAAGAGCTGAGGGACAGCGCCCAGGCCCAGAGTTCAGGCCCCATGACCGACAAAAAAAGAAAAGAAAAAGAAAAATGAGAAGTTATGAAAGATAAACAGCAACAACAAAAACTGGGAGGGGGAATTGACAGAAGTGATAAAAGTCTAATCTGATCATTATTTTCTCATGTTGGCTTTGACAAGCCAGATTTTTGTCTGCTTTATTCAAAGCTATATCTTGAGTGATGAGAATAGAGGCTATTACTAACTAAGCAATTCAATAATTATCTGCCCCATCATTTGTACAATTAGCGGAGGATGAGAAAGGCATAATGCAACTTATAATGCAATTTAACAGCCTATAATATAATCCAATACCGCCATGTAATGACTACATCTCTTAGAGTAGCAGCCAGGTCTATCTTAAACCTTAGTACAATGCCAGGCAATAATCATGCTCAATAAAAACTTGCCCCCCCAAAAAAAGATGAATTAAAAATTAAATCTAGGGCTGGGAAGGTGGCTCGGGTAGAGCGCTTGCCTTGCAAGCATGAGGCCCTGGGTTCGATTCCTCAGCACCACATAAGCAAAACGAAAAAAGCCGGAAGTGGCGCTGTGGCTCAAGTGGTAGAGTGCTAGCCTTGAGCTGAAGAGCTGAGGGACAGCGCCCAGGCCCCCCAAAAAAACGACCGGACCCCCCCCAAAAAAAATTAAATCTAGAATACTATTTACATCCTAAAAACGAGATGCCAGAGAGGAAATACCATGGGTTTCGAAGTCTAAAACAACAAAATAAAACAAAGACAACCTGGCATCAAATCGGTTCTGGGGGCGGATACATACTTTCTGGCCTTGCATGAACGCCTTGGTTTGCTCAACCTCACTGGGCTGTACGGGGATTAAATGACAGAATGGATGGAAATGTACGTAGGCCACGGCCCAGTAGACACTCAATAAATGTGCGTTGTTTACGAAGCAGGCAAGATGACAGTTGCTACGGAGAAGAATTAACTGGGTTAGGTCACCTAACAGGGCAAGACAGAAGGAAGATCTATTTCCCGCTCTTTCGGGGACGCCACCAGCCGAGGCGGGAAGACTCAGGCGAGTTAGGTTTCCAGCCACACCTGCCTCCGGCGTCGCTTCCGCCTCCGGGCGATTCGAGGAGGCAACCTGCCGGCCAGTCTGTTTGCGCGCAGACGAGCCTCTCGGGGATTTCGGAGCCGCTCCACCGTGGCGCTGACCACTAACCTTCCCCCAACCACTCCTTAGTAACCGCGACCACCACGGCTGGCGGCGCAGGCGGCAACCGGCAGTCAGAGCTTCGAACTACAAGTCCCAGCAAGCTCCGCGGCCACTTCCACCTACAACTTCGCGTCGGCACACCTCCGGAAGTACGGATCCCCCGATGGCGCGATCACCGAGTGGCTCGTCAGACCCGCCGCTTCAGCCAATCCGCTTTGGACAAGTCGGAGGGGGAGGGAGACGCTGAGGCAGGCAAAATGGCGGCGGCGGCGGCAGCGGCTGCACAAGGCGGGAGGAGCGGTGGTGGCGGTGGTAGTAGTGGAGGTGGCCCCAGCTCCGGCGCGGGCAGCAGCCGCAGCGGCTTGTTGGATAAGGTGAGGAGGAGCCCCCACCTCAGGGGACACTGGAACCCTGGAGAGGCCCAGCAGGTGATGGCTGGCCCACCTTCCCATCCCCGCCCCCCTCGTTTTCTGCGGCTTGTGGGGAGCGCCTGTCTGGATCCCCGACGCGCGCCCCAGCCTTTGCGAGCCCCAGCCTTCTCGGGCTGTCTTTCCTTCTCAAAGCATCCTTCCAGCCTCACCGGCTTGGCGTAATTGGTCACCCCCATGATCCTACGCGGCCTTCGCCTTTCCGTTGCGATACGGCGGGTTGGGGGGGGGCGGGGGGGGGGACTCTTGAAAGCGCCCCATTTCACCTACTCTGAGCGAGCTGAAAGAATCTTCCCGAAGTTAGCGATCCTTTAGTTTCCCCCCCCCCCCCATCCCCCGCCATCACCACTGTCATCGTCACCTTCCCGGGCTGCTACAGGTTCCAAAGTGTTCCTCGGCCTTTTGGCTGATGTAGTTCCTAAGCCACTTTTATTAATGATAACGCTGGATAACTATAGAGTCTTGCCTTGCTGGGTTGACCCGACCGCTAAATGTTTTCCTCTCTTTCCTCCCTTGCCCTCGCCCCCTTCGTTTCTCCTGCTTTCCACCAAGGGCACTGCTGCCTGGTCCAGCTTTTGCCCCTCCCCCCCCTCTGCCCATCCTTCTTAAATTTCTTTGCAATTTTCTTTAATTGTCCCAGCAATAAAGGCTTAAAGAAAAAAGAGTGGAAAACTGCTCCTTGGTTGACCTTGCTTACAAAGAAGCGTCTGCATAGAAAACAGGGTTCTGCTTCTAGCAATGTGACCATTAAAATATGTTCTCTTTATGTCTGTTTCTTCATCTTCAGAATGAAGGATTTATCTGTAGTAAACAGTAAGGTCCAGTCCCAGTTCTCTTTCATTGTAGGGCTCTGGGCAAAGTTTAATAAGGTAAAGCACAGTATCTTTAGTATAGCGAACAGGATTCCTTACTTGACTTGAAAAGCGTTCATGCTTCATTGTGCCTCCATTCAAGTGGTAGATGTTTAAAAATGAATAACTGATCATACTGAGGTACCTAATTCAGATCCAGATCAACTCCTTCCCCCTCCCCCTCCCCACGCGGGTGTATGTTCTAAGCAAGTACTCTACCACGTCTGCAGCTCTGCCTGTCTTTGTGTGTCTTTGGATTTGAATTTGAGATAAGGTCTTGCTTTGTGTTTATTAGCACATGCTGATTTGGGACTGGCTATGCAGCCTGGCCAGTGAAAATAGGAAATCTTGTTCTTCAGCTTCATGAATGCTGTCACACTATTCCTTTGGAACAATAACATGTTCTGGAGATTGGAGTGGTATAAGAGCATTGGGAACTGGTATGCAACTCACCCCTTCCTGTTGAGTGAGCCCACCACAGCCTATGGTAGTCCTTTCCCACTATTCTTCCTCTACTTTCCACTTGCTTATCACCAGCAGGCAGTAATATGTCTTGAGCACTCAGTTTCTGCCCTTAAATCAGGCTTCATCTTGATGCATTTGTCTCTGATGTTACTCCCATTGCAGACCATTGGTCACATTGCCAGTAAAATATAACATAAATGTGGTTGTTATTCATCTGCTTAAAGTACTCTCCCTTGCCTGCCTCAGAATAAAATTCTTTAGCCTTGAAAACAGTGCCATCTAGGATATGGTACTTCATCGTAAGTGCTCCATTTTCTACTACTTTCCTTTTTGTAGCTTATTATCTACCTTGTGAACTGGAATAGACTAAAGAAGGATATGTGTTTAATTGTTTCTAAATCAGAATGGGGTCTTTCCATTGATACTCTCCCACTCCTGCTTTCCATCATGCCACTGTGAACTAAGGAATCAACTTTGAGTCCTAACCTGTCCAGCTGAGGAGATCTATGAAGCAGTCCACTGAGGTCTTTGAAATTACTGCATAACTTCTACTTTCACTATTGCTAAAATAAGAAAATGGAAAATGTTCATGCTGATACATGTCATACTCAGGACAAATTTGTTTTGCTTGGCATGCCATGGTGATGCAGGATTTTGTCTTTTATGACTGACCACCAATCCCCCTCAAGGCCAGAGAAGGAGAAGGCTATTTCAGAAAATAACTTCCTGCAGTATTTACAGATCCTTACATCATGAGTTGAATTTAAAAATCTTTCTCAGTACTCAAAAATGAAATTCCTGGGAAGGTGGCTCAGTGGTAGAGCGCTTGCCTTGCATGCATGAGGCCATGGGTTCGATTCCTCAGCACCACATAAGCAGAAAAAAAAAAGCTGGAAGTGGCACTGTGGCTCAAGTGGAAAAGCGCTAGCCTTGAGATGAAGAGCTGAGAGACAGCACCCAGGCCCAGAGTTCAGGCCCCGACCGGCCCCCCTCCCAAAAAAAATGGAATTCTTGATACCATACCTATAGTGAAGTATCTCTGTGAATTTTTTCTTCAAATAGGCAGTAAAGATTTGTAAATGAAACAAATTGCCATAATGTTCAGTCAGTCATCAAATGCCTATTTTCTGTGCACTAATTAGCCAATCAGGTATGGCTGGCATTGTTTCAGAACTAAATATGCCAGAAGAGTAAGCAAGCCCAATGAGTGTGAGGGCTTAAGTTCAAACCACAGGGGTTTTTGTTGTTGTTTTTTTTAAGCAATTTTTTTATTGTGATTAGGTGATTACATAAACTTCACAAATTTCACAGTATTGTGGGATAGTGATACTTATTTAAAGTCACAAACACATTCTAACCTTCATGTAAATTGTCTTTATTGTGGTCTATAAAGTTTATGAGTTCTATGAGCTTTGACAATACAGTTATTTCTTCCACATCGGATGATATGTACATTGCTTTCCTTTTGCTTAGTGTGATTTGTTCCCTCTTTCCCACTCATTTCCCTCCCTCCTATCGCTGCCATTGAGTTGCTTAGATCAATGACCAGTGCAGCTGATGGGTCCCGCTGTTGTATGTTTTCCCGTTTCCCTGTTTCTGTGTCCTCCTCCTAGTTTCCCTCCGGTGTGCACATATATGTATACCATACGTGCGGTCATCAGCATGGGGTCATTTAGTAATGATTTGACCAGATGAGTGGAGGTCCTTTTTTTTCACGAGTCTTGTTTACCTTGTTTACTTTGTCGAGTCTTGTTTCCTTTGTTGTATCTCCTTACTTTGGATTTAATACCCACTTACCAGGGAGGCCATGTGCTATTGGTCTCTTTGCTCTTGGCTTATCTCACTCAACATGGTTTCTTCTAGTTCCATCCATTTCCCTGCGAATGCCATTATTTTGTCCTTTCTAATGGCTGCATAATATTCTCTTGTATATAGATACCACAATTTTTAGATACATTCATCTGTAGTGGGGCATCTGGGTTGTTTCCATATCCTGGCTATTGCAAACATGGAGGTAATAATAAACATGGAGGTACTGTAAGCCGGGCGCTGGTGGCTCACGCCTATAATCCTAGCTACTCAGGAAGCTGAGATCTGAGGATCGCGGTTCAAAGCCAGCCCGGGCAGGAGAGACCTTGAGACTCCTATCTCCAATAAACCACCAGAAAACTGGAAGTGGTGCTGTAGCTCAAATGGTAGAGCGCTCGCCTTGAGCTGAAGAGCTGAGGGACAGCGCCCAGGCCCAGAGTTCAAGCCCCACGACCGACAAAAAAAAAAAAAAAAACCAAAAAAAAACATGGAGGTGCTGTAATAAACATGGAGGTGCATGTGTCCTTGTATCCTGGTTCCTGTTGTTCAGGATAGATGCCTAGGAGTAGTATAACTGGGTCATAGGGGAGGTCTATATTTAGCTTTCTGAGGACCCTCCAGACTGCTTTCCAAAATGGTTGTATAAGAGTACATTCCCACCAGCAGTGTAATAGGGATCCTCTTTCTCTGCATCCCCTCCAGCATTTGTCGTTTGCTGAATTTAGGATGTGGGCCATTCTGACTGGAATAAGGTGGTGTCTCAGGTTGTCTTTATTTGCATTTCCTTTACAACCAGGGATGGTGAACATTTCCTCACGTTTTTTTTTGCCATTTTTATCTCTTCTGAGCAGAATTCTCTCTTTAGCTCCTTTGCCCATTTAGTAATTGGTTTGTTAGGTTTGGGAGGGGTTAGTTTCTTGAGTTCCCTGTGTATACTAGATATTAGCTCCTTGTCTGATACAGTGCTGGTAAATATTTTTTCCCAGTTAGTTGGCTGTCTTTCTACAAACCCCAGTTTTAAAAAAGAAAGAAACTATGTAAGTCAGGGTTTAGTGGTTCATGCCTATAATTCTAACTTCTCAGAAGGCTGAGATCTGGAGGATGACCCTGTAAGGTCAGCCCAAACAGAAAAGTCCAAGAGAATACATCTCCAAAATAACCAGCAAAAAGCCAGGCTGGAGATGTGTCAACCACAACAGTGCAAACTTAAAAAGAGAACAGAAGTAAAAACAAAACCCAGCTATCCCTCTCTTTGGGTAAGAAATAATAATGACAAAGATAGGGGAAAGCAAGGACCTGTTACTATTTTAATGTGAGACTTTTTTTTACGTACATAGATGATATTAGGTACAAATAAGTAAATTCATGTGATAGTTGGTTATACTCAATCTTCATGTATCAAATATGCAAGAGGGAATGAGGAGAAATGAATTATGTATGAGGTTATAACATCTGAAATACCTTGT